GCTGTCTGAATATTCTGTTAACTCATGAGAGTATCCAGAACAAGGCAGCACAGACATACTACATTTGGATTGGGCCCGGTGGCGTAGTGGTCATGGGTTGTGCGGGATCCACAACCCATTACAATTTCTGCGTAAAGCTCCCTGTCTCCTGCATCCTAGAGGTTATGAATCAGTAGCTCTTATCAGCAGAAGATATAAGATATGAAAGGGCAGCTCTTTAGTCATCGAGAAGGAATCTCCTCCTGGATTCCCCGACTTGAGCCAGAGTGAAATGAGGTAAATCAGCCACTGAGGTTCAGCTCCTAGGATCACGCTGGAGAAGAACATTGAGGAATTGTTCTGTATCCTCCAAACCTAAGCATTTCGTAACACTGAAAACACAAGAGAGTGGTGCACAAGTTCTGTTACATACAGTGGAACGTCAAGGGAAACACGTTTTAAGACACTCCAAAGGAAGATATGGAGCACTCAAAATCATTTGCCCACTTACATGTCCAGAAAATAGTTGATCTAGCTGAGAGGCAACACATAGAACTCTGCAGTGATTGCTGCAATGTACGTCCAATGCTATTATTTATCATGATAAGTTTGTTGCATAATCTCGGAAGGGGTGTACTTCTGCATTTGCCGCACTGCTGGCTGGGCCAAAGGTGGTAGAGCAGGGATGTGGAACCTGTGAGGCCGTCCAGATCCTGTTAGATCCCAACTCGTCCTCTTCACGGGCCATGCTGGCTGCTGAGGGTCTAAATCCAATATCATCTGAAGCAAGACCTGTGTCTAAAATCCTCCTGACGGTGCCAGGCGTTCCTCAAATGTGATCTGAGCCAGAAAGAGCTTGATTCCTTTGAGGCATTTGCGTTGGTGCAGATGGCACTGTTTTAAGGCAACAACAACAACATTTCCGAGGGTTTGGAGAGATGATCCCAAACAGGCATCTGATGGAAAAGGAGAAGTTGCTGGAGGCAAAGAAACAGGGGATGACTCAAGACAGCATTTCTAAGAGCAAAGGGGACACGACTGGAGAATAAACAACTCTGCTGACATTTGTACATGGATGGCACTGCCAATTATTCTCCAATGGGGAACAACCTACACAGCTGGCAATACACATCTGCTGTAAGCCCTTCACTACGTGTGCAGACACACAGTCCTGCGCTTATCATACCAGTTGAAATATAAATGGGCGAAGCACTTTGTCACTGCAAATATTGACCAAGCAGGCGAAACTGTTTTACAACTTGTTATATTTGGTCCTGCCGTGAATCTCTGTTTTCCCCCTGTTTTAACTGCTTGGCTCGCAGAGCTTGTTTTTCTTTAAATCCCTGGATTAAGACAATGACAGGCAAGTTTACAAACTGGGACTGCTCTTAAAATTGTTAATAGAGGCTATTAAAAGTACTCCCCACCACCACACACAAACGGGGTACATAGTTTGCCACCAAAAGCCTTCACCACTAGGCCTTTTGAAAGAGGCGCCTCAAGGTCTGGGCCAATTTATCTTACAGCCACTACAACATCAAGGGTACCCTTTGCTACAGTTGCAGAAACACAACCCTGGCCTGGGTTTTTGTTCCAAAAGCAGGCATCTCATGGTCAGCAGTGGGGGCGGAAAAACTTCGGAGAGCCCCAAGGCAGCATTAGCCAATTGAGTGCCTATGAAGCAGCCATTCAGAAAAAACATCCAGTAATACACCATGTATTTGGTGGGTCTAGCGAGTGAGTGCCTATTCTACACACACTTCAGAATGGACTTGAGAGAAAAGGACCGTCCTGTTCCCAGACTAGACACTGCACTACGTATGACAAAATGTCCCCAGCAAGGTTTGGCCCAAACCATTTGATGTGCAGTCAAAGCCCCTTCCCAGTTTCCAGGGGAAAAACATTTTGTGACCTGGCTTTTCCTGCTTCACTATGAAACACATCAACACCCACCCTTTCTCTCTTCCTGCCCCTTATGTCTTTAACTGCCCCCCCCTCAAAAAAAGAACTTGCTTGTGCAGGGCCAGACCTCAGCAGGCCCTCAGCACCATGCTGGCAATAGCCCCCTCCCCCAACACCACACACACACTGCAGCTGCTGTGTATAAGACAGCTTTTTATGTCATTTAATTCGGCCCTTTATTCAGAACAATGAGAACAAGAATCTTCATTTTTAGGTAAAGGGTCATAGCTCAGTAGCAGAGCACATGCTTTGCACACAAACAGTCCCAGGTGCCATTCTGAACAATACTGAGCTAGACAGACCAATGGTCTGACTCGCTATATAATGCAGCTTCCTGCGTTCCTATGCAGAAACAACTCAGGAAGAGGAAACCGACAAAGACAATGTGTAGTTGCTCAACAATTTCCCCCGCACATCTAGACAGCAGAGCAGAGACGGGTGGTCCTTGCAGTCTTCCCTCCTCCTGGAACAAGCAGGAGAGGAGAGGAAAGGCTACATCTAATTCACACACCTGCCTGCACCTTGTGTTTAGAGAGAGATGTTGACTTCCACCCTGATGGCTAACTAGCAGCAGATCCCAGCAAAACCCACAGGCGCCAACCAGCATGGATCAGTTGCAACAGAAGAGCCTGCCCTCCTCCCAGGGTGATGCATTGCACCAGGCGAGGCAATCCTGCGCACGGGGCAAGATAGAAACGTGACTGGTATGCCACACAGCCATGTGAAAGTTTGTTTAACAAGCCAGGAGAGCGCTCTTAAGATCTCCCTGCCGGCTCTGCCAAAACCACATCAAGGATCCATCCCTGCAGACCTGCCAAGGAGTTTGCAGGCAGCCGAGGAAAGCGAGTGCCAGGCCCCGTGCTCAGGGAAGGGCTCCAACATTCCCACAGTGTTTGGCTGAACAGAGCTTCTCTCCTCCACTGGTAGAAAGGGTCACGGGATATAGACAGAGATCTGCCTGTGCAAGTCAAAGATAGAAAACATCCTGTCAAAAGCACCGTAGCAGCAACAAAAAGTTGGGCACCCCAAAATGAAAGCAGACGAGGGTTCGTTCCAGGATACCTTTGGGACAAAGTCATGCACGCTCTCTGTCCCATGAGGAGTAGATGGGGTTGTCTCTGGCTGTGAGGGGGGATCCACTCAACATGTGAAGGACACAAAGCGGCAGCCTGGGGGTTTTAGGTCATGATGTCAGGCAATAGGTGGGCAGGACAACCCTCCTGCTAGTCAAAGTTGGCCAGCAGGGGTGGGGACAGATTCCAGGCTGTATCCAGTGCTAGTTCTACTCAGAGTAGACCCACTGAAGTTAACAGACATGATGGGTTCATTAATTTCCTACTCTGAGTAGGACTAGCAAAGAAGTGGCCCTGCCCTGGAAGTTGTTTCTGTAGGCTCAAAGTCTCCACTGCCCCTTATGCTTGAAACTTCTTTCTAGCACCCATTCTTTCAAATCCCTCTCTTCCATTAAGCCTTTGGGCTTCATTCCTTAGTTCTCATCCTCCCATAGCAACCCAGCCCAATATACCTGTAGAGCAGCTTTTGTCAACCTGGTGCCCTCCAGATGTTTTCAACTATGACTCCCATTAACCCCAGCCAACATGGCCGTAGGATGCTGGGGCTGATGGGAGGGCACCAAGCTGGGGAAGGCCTGAGTCAGGTCAAGGGGTAGAAGCAAAGGGGCAATGCCTTCCCTCCACCTCCAGCATGTAATGTAGCAGCATGTTATAGAACAAAGCATGATGGGAGTCATGGTTCAGAACACCTGAATCTCCAAGGCAGGCTGTAGGGCTGTGCTTTTATTGATCCAGAGATCCTCCTGGCTGTCCCTTTCTCCAGTGGCTGAATTTAGAATGGAAGCTCCTTGCGTCACACAGGGCTCATCTTTTGCTGATTACAGTGCAAAACAGCACGTGGTTGTATGCCTGGTGCTAACCAGCTCAGGTAAAATGGGCTTCAAAACAACTGCCCTTGCCAGGATCGGAGCTCACCACATCCCAGCTTCTTCACAATGAACTGTATCAAAATCCCAGCTCTCCTTCTCCATGCCATACTTTCCTTCAGGCCAAGGTAGAGCCTTGCAGGCCAGCTAATTAATTTCATTTGGGGGTGGGATGAGGAAACTAGAACTGGAACGGGCGCCTCCAGAAACCTTCCAGGGAGCAGTGAGTCAGGAAAGGGCACCTCCGCCTACCCTTATCTGCCCGCACCCAACATTATCATTGGCAAATCACATAATGAGATTTCTCTGAATGGTTATTTGTGTACTTGTGAAGAACACCTTGGTTCAAAAGCTTGCAGCTCATGGTCCACTTCCAGAAGACTATTCATGTCTCTTAGGGGAGCAGGAAGGGGGAAAGCCAGTGGGGACCATGCACTCCAAACTCTGCTCATATGTGGAACTTGGAAGAGGGAGGAAGAATGCTGGAGGGCTGGGAAGTGTGGTGGAATGCTGGGCGGAGTTACAAGTGAGTGACAGGTGAAGTGCATCTGGCTGAGTAGGACAGTTGAGAGGTAGAAAATGAGATGATAACGAGAGATAACAAAAGTGTAGGATGGATATTAAGGAGGAGAGACAATTATGTTGTCACAAGTCAAATTCTTGGAAAAAAAAATTCCCCATAAAAGCCTTAACTTGTTCCAAGCATTAACCATCTGTGTTCTGGTCTAGGTTATTCCTGCGGGGATATACTCAAACAAGGATATAGAGGGAAAGTTCTTTTGTTCTCGATAATACTTAGTTGGTGCAGGCTGTAGGTTCTGTTAGGACTGTTAAGGGAAGTCTGATTTCAGTAGTCACAACATCTGACCTGGCGACTTCCAGGGGTCTGGCAGGGGACCGTGAGAACGTCCCAGGGGGCGACGACAGAACACTCCTCTGCACAGGCATGCACTAAAAATGTTAAACCACAAGAGCTACAGTTTGCGTAAAGCAAAAGTATTTTGTGCACAGACACTTTTCTAAGGGTCAGTACATCAAGATTTCCAGTGAACAGGTGTCAGGCAAACCAACCCTTAGGAAGTGGTAAACACAAAGCAGGCAAAACTCATTCCCACCAGGGTTGTATTTAACTTATTTATTGACTGGTAAAATGGTCACACACACAAAGAAGCAGTAGAACTGACTGGGGCCGGCTTGGGTTATTCAAGTCCTTGCACGTTCCTTCACTGGCTCGGAGCACGCAAGGCAGAACATTGAGAAGCACAGGGGTGGACCGGCGGTGGTGGACAGGGGAGAAAACAAGCTGAAAATCCAACATCACTCCAAGATTGGGGTCAAGGCAGGGGGCGAGGTGGGGGGGGGAGACAAGGGGCTTGGAGATAAAGTAACTGCAACATTCTTTGCGGGCTGGTTGGGCAGGATACAGAGGAACAGCAGGGAGGCAAGCTGACTGTGGTCTCTTCATGTAGCCGCTCAGGGCTCAGGGGATGGAGTTGAGGAGATCCTTGAGGAAGCCATCGGGATCGCTGATTTCTGACAACAGTCCTGAAAGCAGGAAAGGGCAGGTCAGGTGTGCACATTCAGCAAACCAATTCCTAGAAGCATCTTCCTTTGCCACCAATTCAGGCAAGCAAGTGAAGAGGCTAGGGGAGGATAGGAACTAATGGAGAAGATTGGTGCCTCCCCCGACTCTTTAACAGCTTCAGTCCCCAAAACCAAGGAGGCAGGAATAGCTGGTAGCCACAGGAAGGTCTGCAGTTCACTGTCTGCTCACTTACCCACTGCTATACTATCCAAATCACTTTTGGTTCACAAGATGCAGAATAAACAGGAAGCTGTTTTATACCAAGTCAGTGCTGACCCATCTAACCCAGCAAATTGTATTCTTGACTGGCAGAGGCTACCCAAGTCTTTCCCAACCCTGCTACCCACATGAACACGTTCATTGGAGTTTTTATCCCTGTGGGAAACATCTCGGTTACACCTGAAACTGTTCCCATCACTCAAAGGCAGCATGTCAGGATACAGCGTTATTATAAAACACACGTAGAGCTTTCTGGAGCAACTAACCAGCCACGTCCAGAAATTCTGAAAAGGTCTCCACAGGCATAAACTCCTCCTGGAAAGTCTTCAGAGCCTTGTCTGCGGCCTCGTAGATGGGCATGTCATTGTGGCGGATGTATTCTGCCAGAGAATAGGACCAGCCCCCCTCTGTGTTACTCGTAGGCACCTTCTGGATGGGAAAGAGGAGGAGAAGGAAGGGTTAGAAGCTTGAGCATGGAGGACAAAGGAGGAAGCAGGCAAACACGGCTTTAAAATGGGGAATCAGACCTAAGGGGGAAAAAACGCTTTTGAAAGAAGGGCCTATCAAGAAGTTATAAGCTAATCATGCCTAGATAGATCCTCCAGCTTCAAGAGCAGTATTCCTTTGAATGCCAGCTCCTGGAGAAAGGCTGTTGTCTTGTGGACTCTTCCCAAGAGCATCTGGCCATCTGCCGCTGGCAACAGTAGACTGAACTAGGAGTCCCTATGCTGTGGTCTTTTATTCTTATTCAGAGGATGCCAATAATCTCATCTACTGAGACTTTTAAGAAGATGGATGGTACATGCTGCACCTCTCCAGAACTGATAAAAATTGTGGAAACTGGGGGGTGGGGAGAGCAAAAGAACCTGGAACACTGATGTAAAATGTCTTCGTTCAGCTTTTAGATCACCCTGAACTAGGATTCCCCCAACATTCCTCAGCCTGGGAGCTGCGCATGACAAATGGTGCCGGCCCCCTAGAAAAAGCAGGCCACTGGTTTGAGGAGCATTGCTAAAAGAAGAAGAAATGTACCAAGTTCGTTCCAAGCTCGCTTACTTTGAACATGTTGTAAATGAGATCAACGAGGGCCCAGAAGAGGAGGCCGGAGCGATAGGCAGAGTAGTCCTTCACTGCTTTATCTGTTAGCCTGTTAGGAAAATAAGATCAAGCCTCGCAGTTAATTGCTACACTTTTCTTTGCTGCCTGAAGCTCAGCTGATGAATAGCCCCGGCTGCGGCGACAGCCAGAAGCCCATCCATAATACATGTGGGAAAATGCGTGGGGCAAGCTCAGCCAGGCGCTGGAGGGAGGAAGGGAGGGAAGGAACACACAGAGAGACGAGGACGCTCCACTGTTCTCCCCAGCAAAGCGATTTACAACTAGGGCCGCAGGCACAACTGCAAAGTGTTGTGCAACGCGGGGCCTGGCACTGTTGCTGAAATTCCTGCAATCTCGTTTCCATTTCCCCCCACTCCCCCCCAAAAAAGAGGGGGGGAAAGCATTTTCTCCAGGACTTAAGGCCATGAAGTTAAGCATCCCCTGCCCCCTAAATCACCACAGTCATGTTGCAAGGGGATTCCCGGCTCCACTCTCAGAACGTTTGTTAAGGGCAGGTCAATGCTACAAAGCAAGAGGTGCCATCAAACTGCCTCTGCTTCTGTCAGGGCTCCAAACCCCATGCCTGCTTGAGAACTGCAGGCTGCCGGTCCCTGAGGAAAGTGCTTCCACTGGGAGGCTAAAGCTACTTCCCCAGAACGGGCATGAATCAAACCGGCAGATTTCCCTTACAGCAGCAGGAAATGTGCAGAGCCAATCGATGCCGGAGTCTGCAGCCCCTCCCCGAAGGTTACAAGACCACTCGGGCGCAGAATTACAGAGCATCCAAAATGCACGCCCTTCCATCATGACCCCTGAGCACCTGCTCTCAGGAAGCTGCAAGGAAACACTTCAAGCGAAGGGGCCGGCAGAGACTCCTCCAAAGACCCACAATTTACTCTCCTGTAACACAGCTGATCCAGCCATGGCATGGTCCAAAGGGTCAGGCCCTGGGACCAAGGCACACACAGCACATCTTTTCTCCCTCTTACGGACAAGAGATCAGAGGCAGAGGACACGGAAAGCCTGGAGCCATTTCAAATGACCAGAGGGTCACCCCTTGGGCCTTCTTGGTGACAGCACCCGTCCCCTGCAGTGTCCTCCCTTGAGTAATTTGTGAGACAGGGACAGCAGTGACCTTTACATGCCCCTCAAAATCTATCTAGTTCTAAGCCTACTCAGAGCGAACCTGCTGAAATCAATGGACATGACTAATTTAGAGTCATTAATTTCATTGCATCTACTCTTGAGTAGAACTTAGCTGCAGAACACCCTATTATGTTTAGCCAAGCTTTCCTAGGCTCTGAAAGTCGTATCTAATCAAGTTCAATGGGTCTACTCTGAGTAGGTCTAGCATTTTAAATTGTTTTGTATGCTACTCGGGTTTATTCATGATATAGAATTCCTTTTGTTTTACTGATGCCTTTTATATATATATCAGAATGCAACCAGGTGTGGGGAGGCACTGAGCCACAGACTTAATGCAGGCAAAACAGACACAGCTCTGTGGCCCAGACAAAGAGAGGAGGAAGGAGAAGAGGTCAGGCTCCTCCCGGGATTTACAGCAGGCCCAGCTCACTTAGAGTCAATGTCAACTACATCTAATTCTCCTGTGTGCCTGAAGGGGGCGCCGAGACCTGAACCAACACAGGGAAAGAGAGTATCCAACAGCATCCATCCAAACCTTGCGTGTTGTTCTCGACTCTTCCAGGAACTATTGGAAATTCAGCTTTTTTAAAAGAAAAGATGCCGATTTTTAAGGAGAAGAAAATTTTCCTTGATCATCAAAACCATCCTTTGCCAGCCAGGTGCCCTCCAGATGTTTCAGACTGTAACTCCACATCAGCCTCTAATGCAGAAGGCAAAGGCTGCGTAGCCAGGTCATGTCCCAGGGTCCCAATCCAACGAGCCTGCCTTTGTTACCCTATAGGACCATTCTCTGGGGGTGGGAAGGGAAGGAACCGGCTGCTTTCTCTGCAGTACAGAGAGAGGAGAGGGAAAGGGGGGGTGTGGATGGGTGTGGACAGCCCCATACCTGCTCGCTCCCCCTGGTGACACCACCCGAGCGTGTGAGATCACCAGCAGCCGCTTGAGAATGTCGATGCGCATCGCCTTCCACCTCTCCGGGGGCAGGATGTGAAGCGCCATGACGATGTAATAATGGGGCCCGTCCACCTCAAAGGCACTCTCCACCCACTTCTCCTTTGGGTGCTCCAGGAAGCTCTGCAGGTTCTTCTCTTCTCGAGACGTTGCTCGTGTTCTGGAAGTCAAGCAGAGACAGAAGCGATGCACTTTGGTTTTTGTTTTTTTAAAAAATGATATTTATTAAAAGTTTAAAGATTACAGAAGAAAGAGAAGAAAAACAATAAAGAAATTAACAAAACATACATTACAATACATAAAAAGAAAAACATTAAAAAATACAACAATACTATAAAAAGAAACAAAAATAGTAACACACACATCCAATATTCCATATCTTTACCTTTCATTTACTTGTTTCATCGACCTCCTCACACCTCCCTTTTTTGTATTCTAATTCAATTTAGCTATTTCAGCAAATCCTTTCCATCTTACTCAATTTTTGTTCTATAATTTACCTTAACCCAATCTGACCTTAAATTTTACACTTTGACCCATTAACTCTCCGTTTTTACTTAATTCTTTATAACATTTCTGCTAAAGCCATGTAGGTTCATTCCAGCATCCTTCTAACATTCATTAATTTTCTATATTTTTGTAAATATACTTTAAATTTTTCCAATCTTCTTCCACCGACTCTTCTCCCTGGTCTCGGATTCTGCCAGTCATTTCCGCCAGTTCCATGTAGTCCATCAGCTTCATCTGCCATTCTTCCCGGGTGGGTAAATCTTGTGTCTTCCAGTGCTTTGCAATAAGTATTCTTGCTGCTGTTGTAGCATACAAAAAGAAACTTCTATCCTTCTTTGGCACCAATTGGCCGACCATGCCCAAGAGGAAGGCCTCTGGTTTCTTCAGGAAGGTATATTTAAATACCTTTTTCATTTCATTATAGATCATCTCCCAGAATGCCTTAATCTTTGGGCATGTCCACCAAAGGTGAAAGAATGTTCCTTCAGTTTCATTACATTTCCAACATTTATTTTCGGGCAAATGGTAAATTTTTGCAAGCTTGACTGGTGTTATGTACCACCTGTAAATCATTTTCATTAAATTCTCTTTTAAGGCATTACATGCCGTGAACTTCATGCCAGTGGTCCATAACTGTTCCCAGTCAGCCATCATAATATTATGTCCAATATCTTGTGCCCATTTAATCATGGCAGATTTCACCGTTTCATCTTGAGTATTCCATTTCAACAGCAAGTTATACATTCTTGACAAATTCTTAACATTAGGGTCTAACAATTCTGTTTCCAATTTTGATTTTTCCACCTGGAAGCCTAATTTTTTGTCCAAATTATATGCCTCCATTATTTGATAATAATGGAGCCAATCTCGTACTCTATTTTTTAATTTTTCAAAACTCTGCAGTTTTAATCTATCTCCCTCCTGTTCTAAGATTTCCCAATACTTCGGCCATTTGGCCTCCATATTGAGTTTTTTCTGAGCCTTTGCTTCCATTGGTGACAACCATCTTGGGGTTTTATTTTCTAGCAAATCCTTATATCTTATCCAAACATTAAACAATGCTTTTCTGACAATATGGTTTTTAAACACTCTGTGTGCTTTAACCTTATCATACCACATGTATGCATGCCAACCAAATACATTGTTGAAACCTTCCAGATCCAACGCATCCGTGTTTTCAAGAAGCATCCATTCTCTCAGCCAACAAAATGCGGCTGATTCATAATAAAGTTTAAGGTCTGGCAGGGCAAATCCACCTCTTTCTTTAGCATCCGTTAATATCTTAAATTTTATACGAGGCTTCTTGCCCTGCCAGACGAATCTAGAGATATCTCTCTGCCACTTCTTGAAACAGTCCATTTTGTCCAAAATTTGCAATGTTTGAAACAGAAACAGCATTCTTGGCAATACATTCATTTTTATCACAGCAATTCAACCTAGCAACGATAATTTCAAATTTGACCATATTTCTAAATCCTTTTTCACTTCAGTCCAACATTTTTCATAATTATCCTTAAATAAATTCACGTTCTTAGCGGTCATATTAACCCCTAAATATTTCACTTTCTTAACCAGTGTTAATCCTGTCTCCTTCTGAAACTTATCTCTCTCGATCTCAGTTAGATTTTTCTCTAAGACCTTAGTTTTCGTCTTGTTCAGCTTAAAACCTGCTACCTGACCAAATTCTTGAATCAATTCCAGGACTCTTTTAGTACTCGATTCTGGCTCCTGTAAAGTCAATACCAAATCATCAGCAAATGCTTTCAGTTTGTACTGTTTGGCTCCCACTTGTATACCTTTTACCAATTGGTCCCTTCTAATCATATTGAGCAAAACCTCCAGGACCGATATAAAAAGCAATGGGGAAATTGGGCAACCTTGTCGTGTCCCCTTCTCAATCTTAAATTCTTCCGTCACTAAGTTATTCACAATTAATTTAGCCTTCTGTTCTGAGTAGATTGCACCTATACCATTTCCAAACCCTTGACCAACCCCCATCCCCTGTAAATTCTTCTTCATAAAACTCCAAGAAATATTGTCAAAGGCTTTCTCCGAGTCCACAAATATCAAAACTGCTTTAGTATTAATCTTCACTTGTAGTTTTTCTAAGATATTAATTATATTCCTCGTATTGTCAGACAAGTGTCTGCCTGGGAGAAAACCCGCTTGGACTTTATGAATTTCTTCTGCTAACACCTTTTTTAATCTTCTAGCCAAAATGTCTGCAAAAAGTTTATAATCCACATTAAGCAATGATATGGGGCGGTAGTTCTTAAGCTGTGTCTTTTCAGTCTCTGTTTTCGGTATAAGTGTAATATATGCTTCTTTCCACGACTCTGGTGCCTTTCTCCCTTCCAATATTTCATTACAGACTTCCTTTAAAGGTTGTATTAACCATTCTTTCAGAGATTTGTAGTATCTTGAAGTCAATCCATCCGGTCCTGGGGATTTACCCAATTGCATGTTCTGAATGGCCCCTTCTACTTCCTGTTCCGTTACTTTATAATTCAGCATTAACTTATTTTCCTGGGAATTTTTTTGTAGTCCATTAATTTTCAAAAATTTATCAATGTCCATTTCTTTCTGCGTTTCCTGTGTATATAGTTTTTTTGAAATACTTCTGGAAGCACTTTCTAATTTCCACTGGATTCTGTATATTCTTTCCTTCCACTTCTAAATTCGTAATAGTATTAAGTTTTTGTCTTTTTTTCATTTGCCAAGCCAACAGTTTTCCACACTTATTTGCCGATTCAAATGTCTTTTGTCTCATCTGTTTGATCTTCCATTCTATTTCCTGATTCATCATTTTCATATATTGTACTTGGTATAACTTTATCTCTTTCAAAATCTCCTGGGACTTTGGTTTCGCCCTCAATTTCTTCTCTCCTTCCTTTATTTTTTCAAAAATTTTATCTTTTTTCTCATTTTGCATTCTCTAATTGCATTCTGTTGTATCAAGAATCCTCTCATTACAGCTTTGCTTGCATCCCAAATTACTCTTTTTTCCACAGTAGTGTTCATGTTTATCTCAAAGTAATCTCTCAAAGTTTTTTGGGCCTTCTTAGTAAATTCTTCATTCCTAAACAGGGGCGATGCACTTTGAACAGCAGGGGGAAGGAACCCTTCAACGTAAGCAGAGCTTGCCAGATCAGTCTGGCCAGCATCCTGTTCTCACATTGGCCTACCAGAAGCCTGCAGAACAGCGGCCTCCTACAAGGGCTAGACAACCCAAGAATATATTGTTGAGGCTTTCCCTCCAGTGTCAAGAACCAGGGCTGAGATACGCCAAGCTAATGAGCCAAAAAGCAGAACAAAATGCCCCCATACTTGCCTTCCCCAATCCAACCAGACATCATTTCATTTCACAGGCTAAGCCAAGATCCACCTTCATATGTATCAACACCGGAACATAGGTCCCCTTAGCATACTCCAGGGGTCGGCAGCCTAAGGCCCATGGTCACAAGCGGCCCACAGGGGTCGTTTAACCAGCCCACAAGCCGCCACTGAACTGAGCCACCTGCTCGGCAAGTCCCTGCGCGCTGAGCTAAACCAGCGCAGTGCAGGGATGCGCTTCTGCGGCACCAAAATCGCATCTGCGCAGACGCCAGAAATCGCACACACGCAATCCGGCCCATGGAGGGATCTCCGCTGGAGTGAACTGGCCCAGCCGAGGTAAACCTTGCTAACCCCGGCATAGTCTCTAAGATAGATCCACCCCTAAGGCAAAGTGAAGTGACAGCCTTGGGCAGCAAGATCCACAGGGGCAACAGATCCTGCCTCCAACAAATGCATTACTCGCTGTTGCTGCAGTGGCAGCAATATTTGCAGCACCGCCACAGCGACCTCTCTGCCAATAGAAGGCACTACTGGTCTCCTCCCCCGGTTCCTGAAGCAGATCTTCATTCATTCGCCCCTTCTTTCCTGATGGGACACCTGCCATTTTTTGGTTCGCCTCAGGTGCTAACATGTCTTGGGCTGAACCTGCTCCTGACCAGCAGCTCTCCCAAGACCTCTCCATTCGCCAGCCCTGAATGACTAGGATCTCAGGCACGCAAACCATTCATTCTCACAATGAGCTCTGGACCCTCCTCCCCAAAGGAGTTTAGGCACATACATCAACATCGTGCCAAAGAACAGGGGTGGCAAACTGTTTTCGACCTCACAGCCACATTCCTTTCTGGGCAAACTCGCAGAGGCCACGTGCCAGTAGCATGGGGTGGGGCCAGAAACGGGGCACCAGGTGTGAGTCCTACCCTGTGTGGAGAAGCCTATATACCCAAACAACACAAGGATCACACTACAGGAAGGACCACTGGATTTAATCTGAAGGTGTCTTCTCCTCAGTGGATGGACAGTATTCCCCAGATGGGTCACTCCCTCCAGTCTGATCCACAGACGGGGCTCATGCCAGTGCAGGCCGCTAAGCTTCCTTCGGGAGTTAAAGGTACCTCTGACCGTTAGGTCCAGTCGCAGATGACTCTGGGATTGCGGCGCTCATCTTGCTCTATAGGCCAAGGGAGCCAGTGCTTGTCCGCAGACAGTTTTTCCGGGTCATGTGGCCAGCGTGACTAAGCCGCTTCTGGCGAACGAGAGCAGCGCACGGAAATGCCGTTTACCTTCCCACCGCAGCGGTACCTATTTATCTGCTTGCACTAGCGTGCTTTCAAACTGCTAGGCTGGCAGCAGCTGAAACCGAACAACAGGCGTGCACCCCATCGCGGGGATTCGAACCACCGACCTTCTGATCAACAAGCCCTAGGCTCTGTGGTTTAGACCACAGCGCCACCCACGTCCCTACTTACTTCGGGAGGGGTGAGCAACAAAACCTCAAAATCTATTGCTCCGTCTGCGGAGCAATTCAAAGCAGCAACCCGTCTCATGACAACCTTCTCCACCAAGGGAGAATGGCTCAGAGGACAAATGCACAGACACACACAGAGAGAGAGAGAGAGATAAAAGGTACTGACGTGTTAAGGACATAAAGCACCGTGTGAATGATGTAGGGGATGAGGTGGACGTTGCTCTCCCGCCCTCCGCCGCCTGTGTCCACGCTGAACGACTGCTCCATGGCAAACCGGAGGAACAGCAGCTTGGTGTCATGAACATTGAGCTGGTAGGTGGGCTCCCGCTGCCCCGTGCACTCTTGAAGGTAGGTGTTGTGCCTAAGGGAAGGAAACCAAGACCAGGTTAGGCTGCTGATCTCACAAGAGGCCCAGGAAAGCGGAACACGAGGCAGCTGCGTTTCTTTCCTTTTTTAAAGATACACGGAGAAGCTGGAGGGTTAAGGTTGTGTTAGGATGGTACAGTCCAAGAAATCAGGCCCTCTTCCCCTACAAGCTGGTGGGAAGAGGGCACTTGCAGCAAGAGACTGCTGACCCCGACAGAACAGCGGGCAAAAGGGCAGCACCTCAGACTCACCTGGCTAAGCAGGTGGCAAAGGCCGATTCTGGGACATGGGGCCCCCACACCGGCAAGAGGCCGTTGCATTTGGTGTTGGCATTCTGCAGGGCTGCACTCTCCCATTCCTCGCGCCCACGTGCCAACCTGCAGGAGTAAAAGCAAGGTCATTATCAGTCAGGGAAAGTCCCTTTCCCTGCAAACCTCTTCCCTGTAGAGCAAAGCTGGTGACTGCCTCAGTCCTGAAGACTTAAATATTACACACAACACAAACCCTGGAGCTTACCAACTAGTGAATTCCTTAAAGTATTGTTGGTTAGCTCATTACCAAAGCTACAGCTGTTGGGATTCTTCCCCAGGCTAAACCGAACCCCCAGCAGATCAGGCATGGCTTTGCGGCCAAGATGCAAAGGGGATCTCGGGCCCAGAGGGAAACTCAGACCCACCTCACAGCTGCCAGGTGACAGTCGTAGTGGACAATGTTAAAGTGCGAAACGGTGCTGTAGCCCTGCTGCTTCCGAGGCTTGTTCTCAAACTCCTCCAGGGCGACTCGCTTGGTGAAGGTGTAGATGCCCAGGACCTTTGTCGGCTGTGGGGAGAAAACAGAAGCTGCGGCGGAAAACCTAAGGCACCAAGCTTCGAATGTGGAAAAGCTGCACAGAAACAGCTGCCCTTTTCTCTTTGGCCTTCCAAAGTGGGCGATACATCCCCCCGGGGGAGCTGGAACAATCGGGGGGGGGCAGTAGTAGCCTCGGGTGCAATCGGGGGGCAGTGAATAAAAATAAGAGGGCAGTAGAAACATAAAAAGAAGAACGTTTTGAAAAACCATTTGTACGTTTCATCTGCTCTGCAATGGCATTTACCACTAGGCCAGGCACTGCTGCGGATTGACAACACTTCCCCTGGATCTGACAATTGTGCTAGAAGAGAGGGGTTTTCCTGGGCGTGGGTGAACCCTTTTCAGCTTCACTCAGGCCCAGGAAGTGGGTCGCAGCTTGCCTGCCTATTTGGCGCACCAGGGACTCAGCCACATTCATCACAATAATACGTTTTGAATGCGTTATAAGCATGCAACACCAGAGAGCAAATAGGAATTTATATGGGTTTTTACACAAGCTTTATTTTTTTTCGTTGTAACGATTTAATTTCTGACTTATTTATAGTGTTTTTAACCTGTGTCCAGATCCACCCCTGGTTCATTTTTCTCACTGGGATCATTTTAAATGTTATTTGTAATTTTCATTTTAATATTATCCTTTGTTATCTAAATAGTCTGTGTGTGATGTGAATGTCGCCATAGTTGATTTTAATAAACAATTTGATAATTTCAAGCTTCAGCATGTCTTATCTACAACAACATCTTTCTTTACCATGTTGTAGCACATAGGTAGAAATAGAGATACATAAAAGAACGCAAATTTGTCACCGCAGCTTTCTGTTTGCTCACTTAAAGAAGGCAGATTTGGGGGGGGGCACTGAGATTTTTCTTTTTCCTGAAAAGGAGGCTGTAGGGCAAATGAGTTTGGGAACCTCTGGTAGAGAGTCACAGAATTGTAGACTTGGAATGGCCCCAAAGGGTCATGTGGTCCAACACCCAGCAATTCAGTGTAGACCTGCACGACTATGGATGTCGCTCAGCTGCCCAGCACCTTGGAAATACGGCTGCAATGAAATGTGCATATGCAGACATATACATATGCATGAAACAGTGTGACTGGGTGAAATTACCAGGCTCTGACTCCCCACTTCACCCCCAAGGCCTACCTGGAACTTGTAGCCCTCTCTGCAGATGCAACAGGTGAGGCCCGGCTCCTCAATCAGCTCCTCCATCTGCTTCAACAGCGCTGTCTTTGTCACCACCTGGCCCTTCTCGTTGGTCTGAAAGATCCAGCACAGCAAGGTTGTCGAGGAGAAAAGCCGGGCTTGGCGGAGGGGAGGGGATGAAAACTGGTTGCGTGGGTTGGAGGAAGAGGGCCATCACTAGGGAGCATCTCGATGTTGTGCGGGCATGGAAAGTTTCGCATTGGAAAATGTGTCCTTGACCTTATGGTTGCTGCCATGGCCATGGTCAAAACAACAGTGGTTTCCCTTGGCTGGAACTGGATTGGCTTCTCTACTTAAATCTTCCGTGACAAGTGTGACCTGAACAGCCACTGGTCCCGCTGGATTAAATGGCACCACCCAAACAGCCAGCCATTGCTAGAACTCATGGAAATCCAATGGAGCTGAACATTGGAAGACTCAGGACAGATTAAAGAAAGGACTTCTTTATGCTGTGCAGAGTTAAACTGTGGAACTCTCTCCCACAGGAGACAGTGATGGCCACCAACGTAAATGGCTTTAAGTGAGGATTAGACAAAGGAGAGGGCTTTGGATGGCTGTTAGCAACAATGGCTATGCTTGGCCTCCAAAGTTGGAGGCAGTAATGTTTCTGAATGCCAGCTCCCTATCGTGGCATCTGACTGGTCATTGTGAGAACAGGATGCTCTGCTTACGCTCTTACCGTCATGCCAAGGGTGCCCAACGCTTTCTGGCGCATCGCCATGGCCATGCGCTTCTTCTCCGCTCGCGTCTCTCTCCGGGCGGCGTCAATCTTCTTGTTCACCTCTGGGTGCTCCCGCAGGGCCTCCAGGAGATTCTCGGCCAGCGTCCCAATCCCTTCGTCACTGGAGACTTGCTCCAGCTTGTGCAGGTTTGTGATCGAGTCGGTCCCAATGAGGACCTGTTCAGGGAGCAGACGTTAACGCAGTGGGCAAGGAGGACAGGAGGATGAGTCAGCCTTGGCCCTGAGCTGTGGAACCTGAAAAGGAAATCTCCTATGCTCTTCCCCCCTCTACACCAGATACAGCTTTGCTCTTAAAAAATTGTCCGTCTTTCGAGCACAGTATAGTACAAAAAGGCACCCAGACCTCCAGGGATGCCACCCAATTAAGAGCAAAGTGAATTTTAAGCAACTGAGTAATGGATCAATGAAACTGGCGTAAGTTTGCGTATGACATACAGAGCGTTCCAGTTACACCAGCCAAGAGAGACAGGGATGCAGCAGAAGCCCCTGCAACGCCTTGGAGTAGCACCAAGGGAACACTTCAAATTTTCCCCTTTCAAAACCGTATCACTCTTCTTCCAGAGCATCTTGTTCACTGGAAGAAGACCATTCTAAGGCAGAAGTTCCCAAACTTGTTCTCCCCACCTCCAGCCCCAGACCACCTGAAAACTGCTGAGGGTTTTGGCGGACCAGACAATTGTTTTCTTTTGCCTGTTGTAGTAACTGCAATGTGTTGCACTAGCAGCTGTACGATGTTTAATTGTACTGTTGCTGCTTTTATTTGACATATATTGTATTGCTAGAATCGCAGAATTGGAAGGTTCCCGGAAAACAACCCCCTGCAATACAATCTTACTGTATTACAATTAGAATTCCAAGACACACTGCAATGCATCCGAATGACTCTCGTGGACCACCAATTTGGGATCCACTGTTCTGTAGCACACTTTGGGATGTTTTCCTTCTGCCCCTTTGGTGAACTGATGTAGCTCCGTTACTGCTGGATCATTCCCACCCTAGACACAAGCAACACACCCACACCTGAGGTCCAAAATGCCTCCGTAGGGGCTGGGCTTAAAAGAGCCCTTTGCCTTTGTCTCACACTTAGGAGGAGGCAGCTGTGCCTGGAATCAGCCCCTAGGATCAGGCAACATGTATATGCCTAAACCTGATGTACATGGAGATCAGATTAGACTCATGGGCCAGGGGGTGGGGGAGTAGAAGACATCTCTTTCACCTGTGTTGGGGGGTGCTGCGTGGCGAGACCTCGGAGCAGCCGGAGGATGAAAGGAAGGGCTGGCCGGGAGAGGAATTTCTTCCACACATCAGCATCCAAACTGCGGAGAGAAGATTGGAAAAGAGAAAGCGTTTGAAAAGCAGCTGTCAATATCAGCATCAAGACCTGGATTACTCCACCCCAGCCCCACTGTGTGGCTCACACACTCATGCTGCAAAGCGGCTCTCCCCACCCACTCCCCAAATTAAGGCAATTCAGAAACTCTCAAAAGGAATGAACCACCTCAATTTCCACAGTGGTGTCCTTGTGGCTGAGCTCCAAACACCCCAAGAAAATGACTTGGCCGGGGTGGCGGGTGTGACAGAGACCTGCAGTTGCTTCCCTGGGAGCCAGCACAGAGTGTCAAGGATCCACAAAGCTGTTAAGGGCCCAGGTAACCTTTAGTGCTGCCTTATCCAGAACTGGGTCCACCTAGCCCAGTGTTCTCTGCTCTGACTGGCAGCAGCAGCTCCCAGTGGCCTCAAGGCTGAGAGATTTCTCCGCCACCTAAACCCCAATATTTTGTTTTCTTAAAGGAAGGCAAAGCTTGGGATTTTCTATCCTCACATTAGCTCTGCAAGGCAACAGCAAACTGGGCGCACTCAGGCCACCCCCAAGGAAAGGGCAATGCCCCAACGCAGAAGGGGCTCGTCCCAGTGAACTGCAACCCACAAACCCCCTCCATCCTCCTGCACGGCTCTCACTTCTTGGCACTGGGGATGTGCTTCTTCATGTAGTCGAGGGCGTTCTGCGTGATCCCCCTCTGGAGGATGAGGTCTTTCAGGAGGTGCCCATTAGTGTTGTTCTTGATGCCAGCTGCTATTTTGCAGAAACAGTCCAGGAAGACCTTGTCATCCCCACTGTGCTCCTCATCGTACCTGGAGGAGAAAAGAGACAAGGGACTCACGAAGGCTGTCAGGGGGCCAATTCGGGCTCAGATTCTCCACTCTAAATAAAGCTAAGTCACATCATTTCTTGGGGGCAGAAGCGCAAGCCATCTGCACCCTCTGATTCTAGCCTTGGGTCTGCTTTTTGCAGAGCTGAGCGTGTAAAAAGGACTCTGATCCCTGTTTATTTCTATGCCACCTGTTAGTCCGAGAGGCAACCCAAAGCAACTCAAAGTGAGTAAAATATTAATAGGAAATTGAAATAGTCTTTTGCTCACTGTTTTCTAGCATTAATTGTTGCAATACCCACGAAATGCGCATTAAAAGCACAACAAAAGGACACTGGAGAACCATAGTGATACAACCGGTGCAATCATTCAGACTCCTGAGAGCATTAGCTTTTGTCAAAAAGGAGAGAGGGGTGCCAAGTTTCTAGTTCTCAAGAGGGTGAAGCTATGCTTGAAATTATGCAAAGATATCCAGCAGTTGTGGGGAGGGGATTCAATGCCCTTGCCCACCCTCAACGGCAAGTAGAGGAAGTCAAAATTAAGCACATCTTTGTATAATGCATAAAACACACCTTTTTTGTGTAACATACAGAGACTCCTGTAGACAACCCAACTGTTTAAGACCAGCCTGGTGCCCCTTCAGAGTTTGGGGCTACAATGCCCCCACCCCAGCCTGGATGGCATAGTCCAAAATATCTGAAGGGCACCCGGTTGGGGGGATTGTGTGCTAGGCTGCGCAGAGTCTTGGGAGCTTTGAGGCCAGCCTGGAACCAGAGATTAAGCAGAGCTGCACCTCTGGCAAGGAGAGCCCTTTCAAACCAGCAGCACCCTAATTTATTTTGCACACTTAAAAACTCAAGGAACAGGAGAGGGCAGGAGAGTTTGGTTCAGGGTTCCCAGGGAGGCATACTTGTCGAAGCTGCAGTAGGGCTTGAAGCGATCGACCAGGATCTGCATCTTCTCCATCTCCCCAAAGGACAGGTAAGGGATGATGCGGAGCAGGCCCTGCAGGACGCTAGGGTTGGAGCGGACGAAGGTGCTGTTGATCTGGTCCAGCAGCATCACCAGCTGGTCCTTGTCTCCCGTGAGGAGGAGGTTGCCCTGCGGAGGGGGGAAATGGCCCATCAGTCAAGACACCCAGAGTCTATCTGCCTTGGGACACCCTTCTCCCTGCCCCACACCTCATTTACAGGGCAGCTTCTCAAATCCGCCCCCCGCAATCTCTCAACCTCCCTGCTCTCTGCGAATTCCCTCTTCCTCTGTTTCTGCTGCTCTCCCTCTATTCTCAACACCTTCAGGACAACACCCCTCCGATAACCCCCCTAACCACTCCCTGATCCGGCAAAGCCAACTCTCTTAGGCTTTTTGTCCTGTCTTGGATTCATTTGGATGATTCACCATCAAGTCTCTGTAAGAAAACGCTCCCTGCGTGTATTAAAACCAATTTATTAGAGACGAAACACGTGTTCCAATGAACACAGAAGGCTGAAAAGAAAAAAATCCCATTTAGGCAGGCAACAAGAGAAGGCCTAGTATCTCTACGGCATCATTTGGGGGGCGGGGGGAGAGCCAAACCTCCAGTCTCGCTAGGGAGTTCCTGGATGTCCTTCAGCTCATGGCAAGATACAGTTCAACACCCTTGAGTGCTGCTGAAGAGGGTCAGAGGCTGGTCAGGCCCAGCTATTGTGACCTGAAGACCCTGGTCAGCCAGCAATATCCCCTGGGGGCTAACTCTGAGAAGAGAGGGGTGGGCCCATGGCTCAACCCCACTATGCCATAAGTGTGCCTGCTCCAGAGGGTCAGCTCTAACCCAGGGGACTTCTAGTTTATAACCCCTGCTACTGACCGTGCTAGTATGGTCAAAGAGAAGGTCAAGAACTATTGGACCTCTGTGTTCTGAACACATCTTCCAAATCGCTCTCATTTATCTAAAGGTTGGCTCGCCGCCTTCCAGTGTAGCCCCAATGACCCCTTGTTTCTTCATGCTTTTTTTACTTTTTATTGAAAATATAAGCCCTATGTTTCTTCCCACATATAAGAAGCTGGCTTGCTTTGCAAAATGATTCTAATATTGCCAGGTATTGAAAGATTGCAAGAAGGTCAACTAGCCTGAAGCCACGTTCGCTCGCTAATTAGATGTGTTTGTTTTTATACTTAGGTCTAATGTAATTGCTCCTCACACTTATCAAAATGTTGTCCTCATGTGTAGAATTGAGAAATAAGTTTCAGTTGTTTCTCACCAAAGGGGAAACTATTTTCTTTTTCTTTTTTCCTTCCTGCAGCCCCATTAAATGAATTATAAACTGTGTTTCTGCCTCTGCTGGGCCTCTGCCTTAATCCATTTTGCATAACAGAGAGGCGAGGTGGCCTTGAAATGACTAGACGCTCCACGCTTCATGTAACAGAGTACTAAAAATGCAACAATTTGCAAAAGAATGGATGGATTTATATCTTTGTTTTAAAGCAATGTGCGGTTATGATATTGTATAGTAGGTAGAAGTATATTTTTTAGACCAATGAAAAGTAAGCATGAGGTGTCCATGTGCTCAGGTGACCAATTGGAGCCTTGGAAAGGACTGAGCACGAGGGGAATCATGGATGGGAAAATATTATAAAGTGTCTTTGTAACCTATTGCCCTGGGTCCAGAATTTGGAGAATTCTTCTGGACCATTTTATGCTTTCTGCAGACTGCAATAAATCTTATCACTTTGCATGATGCTGTATGTTTTTATTTGGCTAGAATACACTGATTTCCAGACCTGCCTTTGAAGGGCAACACAGAGAGGCAGCTGAATAGCCTCCTCAAGGGAGTATTATAGGGTCCAATTACAGATGGTGCAGAGACACAACAGGATCCCCTTTGTTTTGTTTTTTAAAGATATTTATTAAAGTTTTCTGATTAATACAATAAAAAAGAATCAAAAAGGAAAAAGAAAAAGAGTTTAAAAACACATAGAGTTCACAATACTTATTTTTCAATAACATATTTCCCTGACCTCCTCATACCTCCCCTTCTTGTATTCCAATTCAAATTATTAGTTCAGCAAATCCTTATCCAATTTTACCTTATCCAAACTTATACATCAATACTTAACATATTATTATTTTACTTTTTCTCTTTGATCCATTTCCTCAATTTGTTTTTGCTAACCTTATTTTCATTTAATTTAGTTCATTTAAAAAAACAAAACAACCAATTTTACCTTATCCAAACTTAAACATCAATACTTATACATGAGGCAGCATGTCTATTTTGGTTAAAAGAATGGATAAAGCTAGAAAATAAGGAATTATTAGACCTTGAAGGCTTTGATAACAGATTTGGGTGGCACGCGTACTTATGGTGTGATAAAAAGAGGGTTCACAAAGGATTTGGAAACCACATCTTCAGGGGTTCTTTAATAGAGGTTTGGGACAGATATAAAAATATACTGGAACCAAAAGTCCCACATTGGTTGTCCCCACTAGAGGTAATGAGTGTCAAGAAGACTAATATGAGAGAAAAATGGGGTACATATGGAGAACTGGTAATCAATGAAGGAGGGAAATGGAAATTGAAGCCATATGAACAAATTAAAGAGTATATACATGATTGGCTGCATTATTTCCAAATAAATGAAATGTTTAAAAAAGATCTGAAGGGAAAAGGTTATGTGGAAAAAGAATCAACTTTCCAAAAAGACATAATAAATAACGAGTATAAATTCTGTCAAAAATGTATAAGATATTGTTGGAATGGTACACGAAAGACGAAGAGGTTAAATCGGTAATGATACAATGGGCAAAAGATTTTGGGTACAATATTCAATTTGAGGAGTGGGGAAAAATTGTGGAAAGAGAATATAAAATTTACGGCATGTACGTTATTGAAAGAGAATGTGATGAAAATGTTTTATAGATGGTACATGACACCTGTAAAACTAGCAAAGATGTACAAGGTTGATAACAAATGTTGGAAATGCAAAGATAAAGAAGGGACGTTCTTTCATCAGTGGTGGGAATGTAAGAAAGTGAAAAGCTTTTGGGAAATGATATATAATGAAATGAAAAAAATGTTAAGATATACCTTTGTGAAAAAACCCGAAGCTTTTCTTTTAGGTATTGTAGGAAAGGACGTAAGAAGAAAGGACTGTAAGCTTTTCCAATATGCTGTAACGGCAGCCAGAATCTTATTGGCCCAGAAGTGGAAACAAGAGGAAATACAGACGATAGAGGAATGGAGATCAAAATTGACAGACTATGCGGAACTGGATAAATTAACTGGGAAAATTGGATATACTAAAGACCAAAAGTTCATCGAGGACGGGGAAAATTTGTGGATTATCTGAAAAACATATGTGGCGTAAATACAATGCTAGTGGGATTTCAAGAGGCACTGTAAAAAAAAAAAAAAGTATTGTTTATTAGAAATAATGGGAATAGGGAGGAACAATGGCAATACGAAAGAAGGGAAATGTGTACTTAAAGTTATAAATATGGATGATTGTCAGAGACGCTGAAGGAAGTCCGAAACAGTCATAATTTATTGTATTCTGGACAAAATGTATAACTGGATGAAAACTAATAAAATTTATTCAAAAAAAAAATTAAAAATACTTATACATCAATACACATTCTTAAAACTTTCATACAAATAACAAAACAAAATAAAATAAAAACAGAACAAATTATAATTATGTACCCTTTGGATTCCCAGGCTCCACCCCCCCTTTCCCGGTTTCAATCCCCAACAAACGTCCATCAGTCAATCTACTATCAGCCTGGAGATCTCACATCCGAGGCTCTTAATTCTCTCTCAATTCCTCTCTGCCGGTTTTTTTGATAGTCCTTAATTGTTGTTTAGTCGTTTAGTCGTATCCGACTCTTCGTGACCCCATGGACCAGAGCACGCCAGGCACTCCTGTCTTCCACCGCCTCCCGCAGTTTGGTCAGGCTCATGTTTGTAGCTTCGAGAACACTATCCAACCATCTCGTCCTCTGTCGTCCCCTTCTCCTTGTGCCCTCCATCTTTCCCAACATCAGGGTCTTTTCCAGGGAGTCTTTTCTTCTCATGAGGTGGCCAAAGTATTGGAGCCTCAACTTCACGATCTGCCTTCCAGTGAGCACTCAGGGCTGATTTCCTTAAGAATGGATGCGTTTGATCTTCTTGCAGTCCATGGGACTCTCAAGAGTCTCCTCCAGCACCATAATTCAAAAGCATCAATTCTTCGGCGATCAGCCTTCTTTATGGTCCAACTCTCACTTCCATACATCACTACTGGGAAAACCATGGCTTTAACTATACGGACCTTTGGTGGTAAGGTGATGTCTCTACTTTTTAAGATGTTGTCTAGATTTGCCATCGCCTTTCTCCCAAGGAGCAGGCGTCTTTTAATTTCGTGACTGCTGTCACCATCTGCAGTGATCATGGAGCCCAAGAAAATAAAATCTCTCACTGCCTCCATTTCTTCCCCTTCTATTTGCCAGAAGGTGATGGGACCAGTGGCCATGATCTTCGTTTTTTTTGATGTTGAGCTTCAGACCATATTTTGCGCTCTCCTCTTTCACCCTCATTAAAAGGTTCTTTAATTCCTCCTCACTTTCTGCCATCAAGGTTGTGTCATCTGCATATCTGAGGTTGTTGATATTTCTTCCGGCAATCTTAATTCCGGCTTGGGATTCATCCAGCCCAGCCTTTCGCATGATGAATTCTGCATATAAGTTAAATAAGCAGGGGGACAATATACAGCCTTGTCGTACTCCTTTCCCAATTTTGAACTAATCAGTTGTTCCATATCCAGTTCTAACTGTAGCTTCTTGTCCCACATAGAGATTTCTCAGGAGACAGATGAGGTGATCAGGCACTCCCATTTCTTTAAGAACTTGCCATAGTTTGCTGTGGTCGACACAGTCAAAGGCTTTTGCATAGTCAATGAAGCAGAAGTAGATGTCTTTCTGGAACTCTCTAGCTTTCTCCATAATCCAGCGCATGTTTGCAATTTGGTCTCTGGTTCCTCTGCCCCTTCTAAATCCAGCTTGCACTTCTGGGAGTTCTCGGTCCACATACTGCTTAAGCCTGCCTTGTAGAATTTTAAGCATAACCTTGCTAGCGTGTGAAATGAGTGCAATTGTGCGGTAGTTGGAGCATTCTTTGGCACTTCCCTTCTTTGGGATTGGGATGTAGACTGATCTTCTCCAATCTTCTGGCCACTGCTGAGTTTTCCAAATTTGCTGGCATATTGAGTGTAGCACCTTAACAGCATCATCTTTTAAAATTTTAAATAATTCAGCTGGAATATCATCACTTCCACTGGCCTTGTTATTAGCGATGCTTTCTAAGGCCCATTTGACTTCACTTTCCAGGATGTCTGGCTCAAGGTCAGCAACCACACTACCTGGGGTATATGAGACAACAATTTCTTTCTGGTATAGTTCCTCTGTGTATTCTTGCCACCTCTTCTTGATGTCTTCTGCTTCTGTTAGGTCCTTTCCACTTTTGTCTTTTATTATGGAAATCCCCCTAAAAGTGATCCATAAAAGTCCTTAATATTGAACACCAAATCTCGGAGAAGCTCTGACCCCACAGGATCCATGTTTCTTCCAGCCAGACCTCCATACTTGAAAGAGGAGCCCAAATCTTGTTTCTTACTCCTTTCAAGTCCAAATGTCCCCAAAGCTCCAACTTCCACCTTAAGCAAATTTGTAATCCTTAGGTCTTCAGATCTCCACATAAGGAGATCTCTCCATTTTTCAATCTCCAATTCAGGCCAGATTTTCCACATCAAGCTTTTATTTTCCTTTGTTACCATCATGTCAGGCCTCAAACTCTCCTTTGTCATCTGCAAAATTACAGCTCCTCCTTCCTTTTCTTCAGGAACAACAAATATCTCCTTCTCCAAATTCTCAAACTCAAGTTTCTCTTTTTGTCCAATTGAATAGGCTTCCTGATTCAAAGCCTTATCAAATTCCATGATGTTGTTTACAGTTAAGTCCAGAGTTATAACATTTGTAGCCAAAACATCAATTTGGCCTTGTAACTTTCCCAACAGAACAAATACTCTGTCCAGTTCAGCCTGGATTTTCCCTTCTCCAGCCATTCTTGTAATGTCCCACAACCCCCTCTAGAGGGATTTTGGTTCCTTAATATTCCTTCTAGTTCAAATCCAAAATTCAAGTTAATTTATATCGGCTCTTCCTTGTTTTCAACAAATTGTAACAAAATTGTAACAAATATAACCAGCAGAAGCAACAGAAACAAAGTTCTCTTTTTCCGTCTTGACAGCTAATTTGACAGCTGTCAAGCTCTTCAATACCTCATCAACAGGCTCTCTCGCGGAGCACTCCCGGGTCCGGGGGGGTGGCACTTCAGCTCCCTAAGTTAGCTCTTTATCCTCCAGTAAAATTTCTTATGCTGCCAAACCGTGAAATTAATTCCTTTACCAAAAAAAAGGGGGGGGAGGAGTTCTCTCGACCTTAGTTAGCAGGTCCTTGCTTTAAATTATTTACAAGGGGGTGGAGGCAGACTTCCTGTTTACACCTTCCCCGGTTGTGCCTAATTCCTAAAAATTTTCTTTACAATTCCAATTTCCGCACTACTCACGGGTTGTTACTTTAAAGTCCAATTGCTCTCAAGAAGAAGTCAGCGCTCTCCGACCATGGCAGTGCGGCTTCACTCCGCAGGAGAAGCAGTCAACTCTCAGCACCGCGCCGCTCACCCCGTCCCCCGTTCCGAAGCCTTTAAAAAGGCTCCTTCGCGGGTCGGGGGGGCGCAAATGGTGCCCGCCGAGTCACCACGCTCACAGGCATCACCGGCTGTGATTTTTAAGGGTCCCCGCGTCGCCGCAGCGGCAAGACCCGATCCTGCGGAGCCGATTCCCTCCGGAGCTCAGAGGGAATCTGCCATTAGTCGATGGCGCTAACCCGGAAGTCCCAACAGGAACCCTGAGAGCAAGCACTCATGCAGGGTCAATGAAAAAGCTCTCCACCGCAGATCCTTCCATCGTTTCCTAAACATACGTCCTCGTGGGAGGAACACAAGCAGTTTTCTGGCACCGCAAAGTAACCTCCAGGCATTGGAGAAATGGCACTCTTAAGCTCTTTCCCAGGAGGCCAATAACAGAACAGCTCTGTCAATCTACCCGAAGGCCGACGGATGCCAGACTCCCTGCAACTGCCATTAAAACCCCCTCAGGGTCAGATCCCTTCTTAACCCCCAGCCCAGAAAGACAGGAGCAGCTCTCAGCTATTAGTGATCCCCAGCAGAGGAATAATAATAATAATGGAACTGATAGTGGAATAATAAGAGCTTTTGGAATGGAGAGGTGGGGCAGGGAGGGCATGAGAGATTGCAATGGAAGGGTCCTGGCACAGACACCTCTTGCAATTGTATTTGTAATTTGCACCTCCTGCTTGTCCTGGGACAGCTTTCTGGATCCTGTGGACTGTGGGGGCCCTGGGCACCTGCTGGAATTTCCCTCGACTCCAACCCACAGCTGCCCACAACAATGCTAATTCCAACTGTCTCTGTATGCTGCTCAACAGAGCCATGAAGAAATTGTTATTTAGACCAGGAGTGGGGAGCCAGCTGTGACCCTCCAGATGTTCCTGGGACCCCAAATCCCAGCAGCCCAGGGACGATGAGAACTGCAGCCCCAAAACATCTGGAGGACCACTGGCTCTCTATCCCTGATTTGGGCAATGCCGCCTGTGTCTCTGGCGAATCAAGAGTTCCTAAAGAGAGATGGGCAAAATACAAGCATACAAAATCAGAACAACAGTGAAGAGGATAAAGGGAGGGGAAGAATGAAATCTGCTCCCTGGATGCAGAAACCGCAAAGCTCCCCCTTGCCCCCACCCCTCCCACGTACAAACACTCACCTTGTCCTCACTTAGTGGCTCTGCGTTGGACTCATCCAGGATGATCTCCATGATGCTGAGCACCTGCTCGGCGACAGCTGCCCCTCCGCTGTCTTTGCTCTCCTGCTCAGCCACGAGAGCCTGACGAGAAGGGTGGCGAGAAGCGTCACAGCAGCCCGTGCCCCGACCCTCCGAGAAGCCGCCCAACTGGTACCAGCCTCCCCCTCCCAGGCCAGCGTGGCATAACACACAGGTAAGGGAGGGCAGCGTGGCTGAACAATTATGGAAACCGCTCTTGCTGTGGCCAGGGAGTGGGAAGGCGGCTCCGGGAACAGAGAGGGAGCCCAGCCACCCTGTATTTTCCCCCATCTCCCGATGGCAGGAGGCTCTGCCTTACCAGGTTGAGGGTCCCCAGCATGACGTTGAGAGTGTTCATCTCCAGCTTCACCAGCTGCTGGCGGTTAACCTTCACTTTGACACAGTAGCTGAAGAGTTTCAGCAGCACCTGTGTGGAGGGGGAGACGTGAGAAGTCGCCTTCACAAATTTTAGGACCAGCGTCAACCCCAATGTGGAAACTGCTCCTCACTTTGTGCCCCCCTAGCTCGCTTGCATCTCTTGAGTGCTCTGGGTTCTCCCTGCTGGGAGCCCTGCAGATCAGGCACTGGCTCCCTGCACCACCTTCTGGTCAAGGGGAGGAACTGCAGGCAATGCCAGCCAAGGCAAAGTCGTGCCCCTCATCATCACCATCCTGGCTTGTGGCATCAGGTGATTGTTGTTGTTATTATTATTATTTATTGAATTTATATACCATCCTATGGGACATGGGTGGCGCTGTGGGTTAAACCACAGAGCCTAGGACTTACTGATCAGAAGGTCGGCGGTTCAAATCCCCGCGTCGGGGTGAGCTCCCGTTGCTCAGTCCCTGCTCCTGCCCACCTAGCAGTTCGAAAGCACGTCAAAGTGCAAGTAGATAAATAGGTACCGCTCTGGCGGGAAGGTAAATGCGTTTCCGTGCGCTGCTCTGGTTTACCAGAAGCGGCTTAGCCATGCTGGCCACATGACCCGGAAGCTGTACACTGGCTCCCTCGGCCAATAAAGTGAGATGAGCGCTGCAACCCCAGAGTAGGCCACGACTGGACCTGATGGTCAGGGGTCCCTTTACCTTTTTTACCATCCTATACCGGGGGGGGGGTCTCAGGGTGGTTCACAGGATAAAATCAAGATATAAAACCACAAATGCCTAATAAAAACAAAAACATCCACCCATTTGCCTCCACCCCCCCCGAAAAACATTTTAAAAGGGAATAGGATGTAAATCGGATCAACCAAAGGCCTGATGAAAAAGGAACCTTTTTGCCTGGCGCCTAAAGGTGTGTAATGAAGGCACCAGGTGAACTTCGCTGGGGAGAGCATTCCACAGACGGGGAGCCACTGCAGAGAAGGCCCCGTTCTCATGTTGCCACCCTCCAGACCTTTTGAAGAGGAGGCACACGAAGGAGGGCATCAGAAGAAAATGATCTCAGGTAGGTTCATATGGAAAGAGGCGGGCCTTGAGGTATTGCGGTCCTGAGTTGTTTAAAGATTTTATAGGGGGAGGGGGACCTGATGCTTAAGTTCTCAAGATGGCCCCAGGGACGGGTGTGGGCAAGATTACTGCATTGCAGGGAATTGGACCAGATGACCCTTAGGCTCCATTCCAACACTACAGTTCTGTGCGAAGACATAGGAAGCTGCCTTATACAGAGTCAGGCCACTGGCCCATCTAGCTCAGTATTGTGTCTAGACTGGCAGCAGCTCCACAGGGTTTCAGGCAGGGAGCCCCTCCCTGGAGATGCTGCTGGGAAGTTCTGCATGCAAAAGAGGGGCTCTGCCACTGAGCTGTTTTCACTACAACCCTGTGAGATAGGTGAAGCCAAGAGATGGGGACCAGCTCCAGGTCACCCCAATGAACTTCATGACTGACAGGGGATTCAAACTCTGGTCTCCCAGGTCACAGTCCAACAAACACGCGAACCACTAGAGCACTGGCTCTAATGAACGACAGGCAGGCAGCAGGTAAGATGGCTGGTGTTTCTTCTTGTTTTTTTATTCTGTGAACCGCCTTGAGATCTATGGATGAAGGGTGGTATGTAATTGTTAAAGGTAAAGGGACCCCTGACCATTAGGTCCAGTCGTGGCCGACTCTGGGGTTGCAGCGCTCATCTTGCTTTATTGGCCGAGGGAGCCAGCATACAGCTTCCGGGTCATGTGGCCAGAATGACTAAGCCGCTTCTGGCGAACCAGAGCAGCGCACGGAAATGCCATTTACCTTCCCACCAGAGCGGTACCTATTTATCTACTTGCACTTTGATGTGCTTTCGAACTGCTAGGTTGGCAGGAGCAGGGACTGAGCAATGGGAACTCACCCCGTCGCGGGGATTCAAACCGTCAACCTTCTGATCGGCAAGTCCTAGGCTCTGTGGTTTAACCCACAGCGCCACCCGCGTCCCTTTTTATGTAATTGTTACGAATAAGTAAATAATAAAGAAAATTGGGGGGAGCGCTCTTGTGAGCAAAAGAATACAAGGACCCAAGAAGAGCCTGCTGAATCAGGCCAATTGCCCATCTGGTCCAGCACCCTGTTCTCACCATGGCCGAACAGATGACCTTGGGAAAGCTTGTCGAATGGTTCTCCCATTCAGTCCTTTGTCGATGAACCTGAAAGGGCCACAAACAAACACAGAAAGAGGGAGCGATGCGGGGGTTGAGAAGAGACTCACTGTCAGGAGGTGTCGGCCTTGCTTGAAATCCTTGATGCCGGTCAAGCGGTTCAGCATGCAGCCCAGCCCCCCGCACTGTGCCATCACGCCCGCCATTTTGTACACTTCTTCCTCATCCTCCGCTTCATCTGTGGAAAAGAAAGAGGCTGACAGGAGAGAGGCAATGGCATCAACAAAGCTGGGAGGAAGCACACACCAGCCACTGCGGGGGGAGGACTCAAAGGGGGACAGCGCCAGGCCACGTTTCCCCCCTTCCGCCAAAGAGCAGCTAAACAGGTGGGGGGAAACCATTTGGAGGTGGCTGAGCTGCAACTCCCATCATCCCTGGCCAGGGATACTTGCCAGGACTGATGCAAATTAAGATGACGAGGCTTGCTGGATAAGGCCCAATGGGGCCCACCTAGCCCAGAATCCTGTTTATGTCCATTATGGGAAACCCGCAAGCAGGACCTGAGTACAAGAGCCATTCTCTCCTTCTGCCGTTTCCAGCAACTGGTATTTGAAAGGAAAGCCTTCACAGTGCCCAGAAGCCACTGATAAGCCTTATCCTCCCATGAATTTGCCCCATCCTCTTCTAAAGCTATCCAAGTTGGTTGCCCATCACTGCCTCCTGTGGAAGTGAGTTCCATAGTTTAACCAGGCACTGAATGAAGATGTATTTTCTTTTGTCCAACCTAAATCTTCCACCATTCAGCTTCACTAGGTGAGTTTGAAGTTCAGGAACATTGGGGGTGGGGGAGGTTGCCCACACCTGAAGTCAATGGATCTTCTGCACAGGTAATTCCCTCCCAGGGAGGGGTGGCCGATGCACAGATTGTTTACCACTCACTTCCCCCAAAGGTTCGCTGCATTCTATCCAATGTAAGTCCTGCTCAGAGTAGATCCATTGAGGCTAACAGACATGACTTAACTTATGGTTCCATCCACGTCAATGGATCTGTTTTGAGTAGAACTTGGCTGGATGCAACCCAGGATTGTTGAGACCCAGAACCAGGTCAGAGGTGTTCAAAGCAGTTGGACTGCAAAAGTGACTTTCTCCAAGGGAGGCAACCTCAGCCCCACACAGCTCCCACTGCCAGTAGCTGTCGAGGGAGAAGCAAGCGCCGTACCTGTAGTGGAGTCCAACGACTCAATGAACTCTTCTGTCGCATCGCCCAGTAAGCCTCGCATGCGGTAAATGATCCTCATGGGCTCCCCCTGCGGAGAAAGAAGCCGGAAGGAACCACAGTGGAGTCTTTGCCGAGCCCCAGAGAAGCCTTAAATGGACAGCCCCTTTTAACCAGGGCTGAGCTAACCCCACAGGAAAAGGGGGGGGGGGTCCTGTCAGTAGCATTAGGATAGTCGAGGTTCTGGGCTACACTATGAAGAGTCTTCGAAGGGAGCCAGCAGCCAGCTGTGAGCTTCCCTATGCAGACCTTTTTAGGGTCTCTGCCAGGAGGCGCGTACAATTTTATTATGTACATGCCTTAGGGAGCTCTTTGATCCAGCAGTCCTCTGGATAAGTAAGTGCAGAGAAACAAAAGAGCAGTTCCTTCCCCTCCTCCTGCTCGCTCTTGGTGAGGGGGAAAGGGGCGCGGCAGAGGAAAAGGAGGATTATAACCCACTCCGCAATGAAACAAGATGCGGGGCGGCAGCAGGGTTAATTCCTGCCTAGGGAAGCCTGAGTCGTCTTGCCTCTTACAGCCTCAGACCAATCCCTGGCATATCTTGTTAGCTAGAGAGAACTGCAGAGGCAGAGCAAGCAGGAGAAACACTTCCTTGGAGGGCTGCTGCCAGTCAGGGTAGAAAGGCCCGACTCCCAAGAAACAGATTTACAATCGTACCTTGGTTTTCAAACAGCTTAGTTCCCGAAGGTTTTGGCTCCCGAACGCTGCAAACCCGGAAGTGAGTGTTCTGATTTGCGAACTATTCTTGGAAGCCAAACATCTGACGGGGCTTCTGATTGGCTGCAGGAGCTTCCTGCAGCCAATCAGAAGCTGCTCTTTGGTTTCCGAATGTTTTGGAAGTCAAACAGACTTCCAGAACGGATTCTGTTTGACTTCCAAGGTACGACTGTATTTCATAAAATGGATGTACCACTTGTAAAAAGCAAAACAAAACTCAAAGCAATTTACAAACAGACCCAAAAAACGAAATGATCAGTAAAAGCAGTTATTGAAAACCGTCACAAAATAATTAACAATAAGCTAAAAGCTACATTAGAATGCACGTCAACATTCTTCATGCCTGAGTGTTTGCCCAAGCAAAAATATTTTTGGCTGGCATTGGAAAGGGCACAGTGAAGGCACCTGGGTGGCATCAACAGGCAGGGAGTTCCTAAGGTGTAGGTACCACCATGTTGGAAGAACAAAAGGAGCTTCACATGTACAGGTGTAGCTTTTCAGCAGCTGCCCTGGAAGTCCCTGCCGTAACCAGGCTTTGACTCAACCATATTTTGCCCTTAAAACCAGTATCTACATAACATTCGGGATACATGCTCGAGAACAGGGAGACTGAAATAAAATATACGGAATGAGAAGATATGTTAATTTGATTGGCTTTTCTTTTTCTTAAATAGACGCAAATCTCCCTTGCTGACGTGAAGAGGATAGAAAGGGGGGGGGTGAAAGAGAGAGAGAGGAAGAGAGAGTGACAGTTTAATAAGCTTTTAAGTTGAACAGGGTATTAGGAGAGTGGCTAAGCAGAGAAGGGACTTGTTACAACTTTCCCTGTGGGGAGGAAGCTTGTTTCGTGCCAGAAGCCTTGGCTGTTTGTCTCTCTCTCCCTTTCTGAACTTTAATGCTGTTTTAAGTTAGAATACAGAGCAGGGAAGAAAGGGAAGGGGGGTGTATATTTGGGGTCCCAGCTTTGGGAGAAGGAGGCCTTATTTGGGGTGGGGGGGATACTGGGGGGGGTGCAGAGAGGGAGAGAAGAGGACCTGTCAAGAAAGTCTGCAGCTAAGCCTAATGTGGAATAAGCAGTGCTTAATGTCAGAGAAGATTCCGGAAAGCGCCGGGGAAAACCCTTGGGGGAAGATCGGCTCAAAGGCCGTGCCAGAGACCCGCAATTAGCACCGCGGGGGGCTCTGGTAAAATGGCAGACGAACAAAGGGAAAGCGGGTGAAAGAGAGACAAGGGAAACAAATGCAGCCCTGAGGTTAGCTCCTTGTGAGCCTGTCTATTTCCTAGGGAACCAGAGAAGGAGCTGCAGGAGGAGGAAAGCGGGGGGGGGGGGGGGGAGGCCGTCACAAAGGGGAAGGAGATGAAAGCTGCTCAGGCGCTGACAGCAACGCTGACAAAAACTCTCCCCGGCCTTTTCAGCAGGGCAGCCGGGCATCCTGGGAAGCCACGCAGGCAGAGACGCAACAGGCGACGGTCACACACAGCCTGGAAAAGGGATCTGGAGCGGGGCTGGCTCCCAAGCCTTCGTTGCATGAATGACTGGCTATCTGATTTCTAGACCGGTTAATATATTGAAAAATTATCTGCAAGCAACGTACGAAAAACCTGAAGCCGCGACAGACAGTGCAACCGAAATATTGCGCAAATGCACAGTTACATATGGAAACGTTGCCGTTAATACGAAATTTTACTAAAATGTAGGTCTGTATAGTTAAAGCCATGGTTTTCCCAGTAGTGATGTATGGAAGTGAGAGCTGGACCATAAAGAAGGCTGATCGCCGAAGAATTGATGCTTTTGAATTATGGTGCTGGAGAAGACTCTTGAGAGTCCCATGGACTGCAAGAAGATCAAACCTCTCCATTCTGAAGGAAATCAGCCCTGAGTGCTCACTGGAAGGACAGATCCTGAAGCTGAGGCTCCAATACTTTGGCCACTTCATGAGAAGAGAAGACTCCCTGGGAAAGACCCTGATGTTGGGAAGGATGGAGGGCACAAGGAGAAGGGGACGGCAGAGGACGAGATGGTGGGACAGTGTTCTCAAAGCTACCAGCATGAGTTTGACCAAACTGCGGGAGGCAGTGGAAGACAGGAGTGCCTGGCGTGCTCTGGTCCATGGGGTCACGAAGAGTCGGACACGACTAAACGACTAAACAACAACAACAACATAAATCAATACCAATTCATTTTCCTTTTGACACAGCTTTCAGGTTCTCGACCAGGGTCCAAACTCTCAGACTCCCCAAGAGCCTTGCTAGGATGGTTGTATATTTATTATTGAGTGACTGACTGCATTTACAGCGTGCCTTTTTCTCCAAGGAGTGCCTTCTTCTCCCCCTCTTATCCGTTAATCCCCACAGCAACCCTGTGAGGTGGGTTAGACCCAGAGAAGGCAGTGCCTGGCCCCCAAAAGTCACACCCAGTGAGCTTCACAGCCAAGCAGGGATTCGAACCCTGGTCTCTCCCAGGCCCTGGGCCGATATTCTAACCACTACATCATTGGCTCCCATATCACAGCTGGGAACCCTTTAGATCCAAGGTGCATTTGTGGGGAGGGAAGAGGAGAGAAAACGAAGAGGGTCTCTGTACACACTTTGGTATAGTTTTCACCTGCACCAAGACACAAATAAAATTTCTCACTCTCGCACCTCCAAGCGAGGGCAAGCTCCACTCTGCTTGCTGGGTGGCCAAATGCTTTAAGGTGCTAAGCGCTAGGGAGAGGCCCAGAGAATAGGGTTGTCATACGTCCGGGTTTTCCCGTGCACATCTGGGAATCGGACAGCAAAATGGAGTGTGGGCCCATTTTTGCTGAATCAGCAAAATATCCAGGGAAAGTAGGGAGATTTTTATTTATTTCTTAAAAAATCATTAAAAAAATCCAATAAAAGCCCTAAAATGAATTTTTGGAGGAGAGCTCAACAACTCTGTCCAGATATTCACTTTGGGGAATATGGCAACCCTACCAGAGAAGCTACTTTTACATTACGAGGCACTGTACATATTAATTAAATGAAATGCATTTTTAAAACAAAGCTCCCGGAGCCACGTATTTAATGGACCCTCATCTCTGTTCAGCCTCTGAGTAAGGATCAGGTTTGTTTTCTTCTCACAGCAACTTTCAGGACAAGCATTGCCGAAAGCCGTATTCTTAAAACACAGAATTATAACATTTCTCAATTATATACTGACTTGGGGGGACACTGCAGCTTAAATTTTGGCACGTGGCGAGGACCGGGGGGGGGTGTCACCAAAGACTCAATAGCCAAATACATGAAACCAACAGGGTGAAAGCAAGTTCCCAGTGACTTTTCTGCATCCAGCCTAATTTTACTTCGAAAAGTTCATCGACTTTCCCCCAACAAACAAGTCAGTTGCCATTTTGCCATGGAAGGGGCATATTAATGCATTAATTTCTAATAATGACCGGGGGGGGTGGATACACAAATACACGAAGTGGAACTTGACAAAAGGCCCCGTAAGGAAGAGAGGATGAAAGGCTGGAGAGAGGGAAATGCTAAGAGCAATCTGTGAAATATTCATCGCGCACACGCACACACGTACGGGGGTGAAAAACCTAGACTCATATTAAATTCTGAAATGCAGGTCTCTCTATTCAGGAACTGTCAGTCTGTTGGAAACACAGGGCCATTCGGATCCATGCATCTGAATGCATTAATCTCCCAACTGCTTCTCGACAAACATGAGATTCTTTTGAACTCGGATGACAAGGCAGGGGTATTTTAACATATTCATTCCTAGAGGCTTTCTGGAGGATAATACCCAAAGTTTGGCACTGATAGTCAAAGCAAAGACATCAAATGCTGGATTTCCACCCCAACCCCCAACTCCCCTTTTGCAGGGGGAGGGAATCAAGTTTCCTTCCCTTCAAAAATGTCCTGAGCGTTTTGCATTTCTGCGAGCATATATATAAACCCACAGCCCTTTTCCGTCTCGATGCATCACCGTTCTCATATACTACATAAAGAAGTTCCATCGCTTTGTGATTTCATGCTGCAATTCTGACCTGGCTGGGCAAAGCCAGGTCCATTCGGCTGACCTGTCAACTGGAAGTACTGACTTCCTAATTTTGATCTGTGATCATCAAAATACTATCAGCCCTCTTAAGATACCAGCAGTCACCTGCTAGGTTTTCTTTTGGCTGGACGCAGCCTTCCCTAGCCCTTCCATGCTGCAATGCAACTGTCCCACAGATCCACAAATCCTTCTAGACATACAAGGTGCATTTCTGTCTGGAAATGAAGTCTGGCTGGCATCTGGGTGGGGGCAAGTAGCCTCACTGCCAGCCCAGTTTCGGTTGTAAAGAGGAACTAGGCCTGCTCATCAGGATCAAGATACTGAAGAACCAGGGGTGGTGAGAAGAGTTAAATAATAATTCTAGGGTGCTAGTGTTCTTTGAAATGCAGATGGGACACAGTGGCCTAAAGCAGAGAGGGAAGGAGATTAGCAGGCAAACACACAGATTTCACGACCCACTCCTCAAAAAGAGAGAGAGAGAGAGAGAGAGAGAGAGAGAGAGAGACCTTTTGAGAAGGGGGCCCCAGCAAAAGGATCCCTGCACACATGGAACAAGCAAAGCCTTTGGGGCTGTTGACAGAGGTTGGAGCTTTGTATCCCAAGTCACTATTTTTCAGAGGCAATGAACAACTTGCAGCCAGAAGAGGTCATAAGACACAATGAAAGCCCCACAGGATTGGGCATTTTGTGTGTGTGTGTGTGTGTGTGTGGAGAGCCGTACCTCATTGGTTGGGCACCAGACTTTCTTGTATACCTCAGCCACCGGGAGGTCAAGGCTGATGATCTTGTTGTTCACCAAGAGCTGAAAGAAAGAAAACATGAAAACAGCAACTCACTCATGGGGGAAAAGCAACTCATGGGTAAAATGCATAACAGTGGTCCTTCCAACACTCCTTTTGAAGTGTGCTCATTGCCTAGACATCTGGAACATTTGAGGGCCCATTGCTCAGCGGAAGAGCACATGCTTTGGATGCAGAAGGTCCCAGTTCAAACCTGGCAACTCCAGTTTAAAAAGGATCAGCGACACGCAAAGTGGGGAGCATCAGGTCCAAGAGATGAATGAGGCCTTTCAGCTCTTTTCTTATGTGGCCCTCCGAGCTCCCTGGCAACATCTGGAGGGCTCCTCATCCGTGCTCTTCCCCCCTCCGCAACGTTCCTCACCTCCATCCCACTGTCGTCCTCCAGCAGAGCCACCAAGTCGCAGTCCTGGCAGATCTTGTTCTTGATGTCCCTCATCAGGGGCCCAATGCCCGGCTCGTTGCTGCTGTAGGGGTTGCCAGGCATCCGCCCCTGGAGGAAGTCTTCCTGCTGCGGGTCCTTCTCCAGGGTGACAAAGAACTCCGTCACCTCGTTCTCCTCCTGAAACAATGGCAAAGGGTGGGAAATGAGCCCGTGTCTCCTGCTCTGAAACTTGGCTGGTCCCTTCTGCACAGCTGGCAGTGGACAAAATGCAAAGTAGTGCAAGGGATAGCATGGCCCAAACTCTGTGCCTAAAGGGAAGGGTCTAAGTATTGAAACCCACAGGAGAGGCTGCCCGTTGTATCTCTGTTTGACTTACCATTCTCGCCCTGCCTCCTTCCTCAGCACAGTTCCTGTGGAGTGCATTGGGTGGGAATTGATCATTCTATAGGTGCAGATGTGGGCTACAGGGCAGAATTACTCTTGGAGCTCATGTTTGCTGACTGGGAAAGGTTATGGACCACCGGTGTGAAGTTTACGGCATGTAATGCTTTGAAAGAAAATATTATGAAAATGATATACAGGTGGTACATGACCCCAGTTAAGCTTGCAAAAATATATCATTTGCATGACAATAAATGTTGGAAGTGTAAGGAGACTGAAGGAACATTCTTTCACCTATGGTGGACCTGCCCGAGAGTGAAGGCCTTCTGGGAAATGATCTATAATGAACTAAAAAAGGTATTTAAGTATACCTTTCCTAAGAAACCAGAGGCCTTTCTTCTGGGTATTGTTGACCAGAAGGTGTTAAAGAAGGATAGAACCTTTTTTATGTATGCAACAACAGCAGCAAGAATACTCATCGCAAAGTACTGGAAGACACAAGACCTGCCCACACTGGAAGAATGGCAAACGCAACTGATAGACTACATGGAGCTGGCCGAGATGACTGGCAGAATTCGAGACCTGGGAAAAGAGGAGGTGGAAGAGGACTGGAAGAAGTTTAAAGATTACCTACAAAGACTTTATAAATTGTTTGAATGTTAAGAAAGTGCATGAAAGGAAGGAACTTGGCATCAGTAACCTAGATGAGAAATGTATGAGAATAAGTTGAACCATAAAGATGAGATTTGAAGTAAGGTTATGCTGAAACTAAGTAGTCAAATACTTGATGGAAATATTTAAAGCTAGAGGCATAACACATTAGATCTAGAACATAAGATTTGAAATAAGGTAATAAATTGCGGAACATAACTTTTGTTCGGAGAACGCAGGAAAGGGAGACGTGAGGAAGTCCAGAGGATTTTGGAAAAATGTATGAAAGGTTGTGATTTGCTATCTTTTTTCTTCTTTATACTTTCTGTGTCTGTTATATGCTTGGTGATTTTCTTTTTTCAAAAAATGCAATAAAAATATTTATATATATAAAAAAAAAGAATTACTCTTGGAGCTGTCTGTCTGTTGCACCTCTGCACGAGCCATTGCCTTTTAGACATTTTCCAAAAATAAAGCCTCCTATTTATATTGGGAGGCAGGGAATTTAAGTTTCCACTGCAGGAACATTGTGCATCAGCTCTCTGGAGTTAGGGAAACACATAACTGTCAAACTTTCAGATTTGAAAATAAGGGATCAGCAGCCTCACCTGTCCTGGGGACAGTCTACGGGATAACAAACAATCCAGGATAGCAGTGGGAAGCAGCGGGAAACGGCGCTGGAATATGGGAATTTCCCGCAAAAAAGGGGAAGGTTGACAGCTATGGAAACAGACTATCCTGGCTACCATACGCAAATCTACATTTCTAGAAACTGCATCATTGTCCATTGCAGTTGTGCCAATATTGCTATTGTGTGCTTCGCTACTGTGGCAGCGGGAGGCTCCCAGCCACATCCATGCGCCACCCAAAAAATGTAGGGTAGATGTTTGCGTATCTGAGGGAGGCACCCCTGAGATTTTGGCTGGGTCCAGCTGTCCCTCCTTAGCGAACAGAAACAGATCAGCTCCCCTACCGGATAGATAATGCTGCAGAGCCTCTCAAAAATGAAGACGGGTGTCCGGTAGTCAACGAGGCTGTAACGCTTGGCCGTTTCAATGCACACTGCCATGAAGGCCTTCGTTTCAGATTCTGTGCCTGCAGAGAAAAGCAATGGAGTAAAGTCTCACGGGGCTTCCTGAATCATCTCCTTAGTGTAAATCCATGCATTGTTAATCTTGAGGCTGGATTACTGCAATGCGCTGGGTGTGGGGCTGCTCTTGGCTCAGAAGCTCCAGCTGGTGCAGAATGTGGCAGCCAGACTGCGGATGGGGAATCTGGCTTACAGCATGCGACACCCTCATTAAATCATCTGCACTGGCTGCTCATCCAGGTTCAGGGTCCTTGTATTAACTGACAAAGCCCCGAACCTTTATATATATCCCACCTCAGTCACTGAGATTATTTGCAGGAGCATCGCTGGCTGTTCCCTGAGTTGGCAAGGCTCACTTCGTAGCAACAAGAACAGAGCCTTTAGGGTCCATCAGCCCTGTTCTGTGGAATGCTCTGCCACTGGAGATTCAGCTTCTGTGCTGACCTTTAAACATCTGCTGAAAACTTTTCTATTCACAGACCTGAAAACAGGTCTATGAAGGCAATGCAGAATACCTCTTTACATGGTTTCTGATTTTTCAGCTTTTATGCACAACTTTTAAAACCCTCTGATGTTTTTCATGAATAAGCACAAATATTTTTATAAAAACAAAACAAAAACACCCCCCCCCAAAAGCCTCTGGTCCCAGGAGTTTCATAAGCTCCCCACCCCCCACCGGCGCTCTCCCCACCTGTCGTCATGTCCTCCAGCATCTCCAGCAGCATGTCCTGGGTCTCGTCGATCAGCTTGGTCCGCTGCACCACCAACTTCCTCAGGCACAGGTAGCCGTTCAGCACAGTCCCCACCAGGCGGCTCTTGAAGTGTCGTTTGATGGACTCGACCTCCACAAAGGAGGAAAGGAGGCCTGGGGGAGCAAGGAATTAAGGCTCAGTTTACAAAGTGAGGACGCCGAGAAGAGAGAGAGAGAGAATGGGACAAAAGTCCAGCCCACACAGAAATGGCACGTCAAGTCAAGAAAGGAGGTGATGGAAGGAGGAGCAACAAACATCACCTGTGATGCTCTTCAAAGCGTATCCCTGCTGCAGGTCAGTGCTGAGTGTGGCCTCCTCCAGGGCGAGTAGACGGGCAATTTCCTAAAAAGCAGAGAGGAGCAGGTTATGAAGGTACCATGTGGGGGGGGGGTTTGTATCATTCCTACTATTGACACTGGATTATTAATCACTTTTTAAACCACTATTGCAAGGCAATTCACATATAAAATGATGAGAAACAACAAAGACTTAAACCACAAGAAGTGGACACTCATAGTAAAAGACCCATTTACTGATTCAGCTGGAAAAGCCTGTCAGAACAAAAATGTATTCTATTATTTCTGGAAAGGGCAAATAGATTGGGGTGTGTATTGTCTCTCGGCAGGGATGCTGTTCTACAGAACAGGGGCAGCCACACTAAAAGCTCTGCTCCGAATTATGACAGTGTGGGCTTCTGAGATCTTTGGAACCTGCAGGAGAAACTCTCCTACAGACTGCAAGGATCCGATGGGTGTATAAGAGATAAGGTGATCTCTTAACGAACTGGTCCTGAGCTACAGAGGGCCTTAAATGTTAGTGCCAACACCTTGAACTTGGCCCAGAAGCAGATTGGCAGCCAGCACAAATCCTGAAAGCAAGGTGTTAGATGCTGATAGTAAGTTTTGTCACTGGAGGGAGGGAAGGGAACTGACACATGTCACTTGTGTAACAGAGCACAGCTTAGATCAGGAAGTGCCAAATGCCCTGTTCAAACCTCACACCTGTCGTGAATTCACTGGGCAGATGCAAACTGCTTTCCCTCCCACCTCTCAGTTCTCAGACTTCTTGGCAACAAGCCCCAGGTAGAAAACCTTTCTTTACCTTTGTAATGAGGTTGCCAACGTAAGGCAGGACCCCCCTGGCCGCCAGGTAGACCTTCCAGCAGGCAGGCTTGATGAGTTTCTGGTAGAGCGCCAGGTACTCTGCTGCACATTCCCCAGCCATGCTCAACTCATCCAGGTAACTAAGAGAAAGGCAGAGAAAACACTGGCGAGTTGGAAATAGAAAAAAGAGAACTGACTTCTTTGTAAACAGAGAAGCAAAACACTGATACAAAAGTGAGTGGAAATTATTTAACTGGCAGTGGGGAGATCCTTGCACCTGCAGGGCTTCTCAAGTCCTTAGAGCACGAGACTCTTAATCTCATCATTGTGGGTTCAAGCCCTGCTTTGAGTCAAATATCCCTGCATGGCAGGCGGTTGAACTAGATGGCCCTCATGGCCCCTTCCAACTCTACAATTCTATGATCCTATGGTCCCCCAAGTGGGATGCGGGTGGCACTGTGGGTTAAACCACGGAGCCTAGGGCTTGCCGATCGGAAGGTCGGCGGTTCGAATCCCCGCGATGGGGTGAGCTCCCGTTGCTCGGTCCCTGCTCCTGCCAACCTAGCAGTTCAAAAGCACGGAGTGCAAGTAGATAAATAGGTACCACTCCGGCGGGAAGCTAAACGGCTGGTTTGCCATAAGCAGCTTAGCCATGCTGGTCACATGACCCGGAAGCTGTACACCGGCTCCCTCAGCCAATAAAACGAGCTGAGCGCTGCAACCCCAGAGTCGTCCGCAACTGGACCTAATGGTCAGGGGTCCCTTTACCTTTACAGTGGTACCTCAGGTTAAGTACTTAATTTGTTTTGGAGGTCCGTTCTTAAGCTGAAACTGTTCTTAACCTGAAGCACCATTTTAGCCAATGGGGCCTCCTGTTGCTGCCGCACCGCTGGAGCACGATTTCTGTTCTCATCCTGAAGCAAAGTTCTTAACCTGAGGTACTATTTCTGGGTTAGCGGAGTCTGTAACCTGAAGCGTATGTAACCCGAGGTACCACTGTACTTTTATGGTCCCCCAAGAAGAGGGAGCTTGCGCCACTGTACCTGGTGAGCAGGTCGAGGATTTGCTGCTTCCGACTGGGGATAGTGGCCAGAGCTTCAACGATGGTGCAGGCAGCCTGCCGGGCAGCCTGGGTTGCAGGCGTGAACAAGACCTACCGGGGAGAGGAAAATTGGGTCACTCGTGAGTCTCATCTCATGCAGGGTTGAGACATCTGGCTGCAATGACCCACATCTGGCCCCAGAGCCCGAGGTTGCCCCACCCCAGTGTACATGGAACACCTGTAAAAAACATTTGGGTTTCTCTATTTTAAGAGTGCATACCCTACATTTCACCACCTGGGTCTGAAGGCAGCTTACGACGACCCAAGATACCCATGAGATAAAAAGCCTGCATCCAGTGCAGAGGAATGTCACGCCGTTCCCGAGGGACAGATGTGAAACAGCTCTAATCAGATGGCGCAAGCTAGAGCCTTTGGGGAGGGTCCATACCTGCCGCAGCCAATTGTTGTGTCCCAGCTTGAGATCCAGGGGGCAGGTCCTCTTCCCCCGCCTGCTCATGAACTGCTTCCACTTCCAGGTGTACTTTTCCGTCAGGTAAAGGTGGCGAAGCTCCGTCCTGCTGGGCGACTTTCCATTGGCGTCGAGGCCTAAAGCGAGGGTGAGGATTCGAGTGGAGGTTAGCGGAGGTGTCCCCTAACCAGGTACCAAGAGCTACCTCTGTTTCTCAGGGGCAGGGCAAGAACTTCACTTTCCCGAGGGCTGGGAACTTTCCACGGGGATGGACTCTCAGGCTCGTAAATGCAGCGTGAGGGTGTAGGAACCGATCTCATACTGAAGTTCCCTTGTGAAGGAAATTAGTCTGGATTAAGCAGCAACAGGTGCAGGAGATGTGGGGAACTTTATGGCCCTTCAGTTGTTTTTGAACTGCAACTCCCATCATCCCTGGCCACGGGCCATGCTTTCTGGGGCTGATGGGAGTTGTAGTTTGGCAACATCTGGAGGGCCAAATGCTCCCAACGTCTAAGGAGCAGAACAAGTTGTTGGGATTTTCCATCCCACCTTTAGCTGCACGCATGGGATTGTTATGTGTCACATATCTGTTTACATTCCAGCACTGTTTGCTGGTGTAAGCGGAACTTCCACTGTATTGCTTTTGCTTTGACTCTCTCTCCGAGGAGACGGCAAGAAGAGACGACATGCTTCTTTGTCTTGATTTATGTTTAATAAATTTGTAGCTCATAGTATGTATTCACAAGCCTCAGCCTTTTCTGGTGTGCAGTTTACACTGCTAAGTATAGTGTGCCCAAGTCTGGGAGGCTTGGGTCACTAATTTATGTTGGAGCCAGAGGTCGATGGATCTTCACAGCAGCATGGCTGGAAGGAGACGATCCAGCTGGGGGCTAGCCAGCTGGCTTCCGACCCCCGGATGCCGACACAAATATGTCCATAAAAGGGTGGCAACCAAGATGAGGGGCCTAAAAGTAGTGGGCTTTCTGCATCAGTGGGGGGGTGGGGTGGTCCACCTAGATGACCTTGGACCTCCTTGGACCTTCCAATGCTATGATGCTTTGAGTGCAAAGGGCAGAAGAGATTGATCTCTCTCTCTCTCTCTCTCTCTCTCTCTCACACACACACACACACACACACACACTTACTTCTACAGGGCACAGTACGTACCTCTGGCAGGGAGGCATTTCTTCCAAGCCTCGTATGAAGCTTTGGGGTCCCTCTTGAGCCAGAGTTGGGCTTGAGCGTGGATTTCATTGCTGTAGGGCTTGACGGTGGTCAAGGAGTCCACAGGGGTGTCCTAAAGAAGAACAAGGAAAGGCTGTGACAGCCTGAAGCAGAACCAGTCACCTACAGGCCAGATATTCAGAGAACCTCCTGCATCTAGAGTGGGGTTATCCCAATGTAAAGTAGGACTTTGCACCAGTGTGTTGATACAGATGCTTTCATCACAAAAGCTCTGTGTTTCGCATGCAGAAGGTCGCGGGTTCCACCCCTGGCATCTCCAGGTGGGGCTAGAACAGACCCTGCCTGAAACCCTAGAGCAGCTTTTCTCAGCCTATGGGTCCCCAGATGAACTACAACTCCCATCACCCCTAGCTAGCAAGACCAGAGCTCAGGGATGATGGGAGTTGTAGTCCAACAACATCCGGGGACCCACAGGTTGAGAACCGCTGCCCTAGAGACAATGCCAGCCATTGTAGATTTTACTAAGCTAGACAGACCAATGGCCTGACTCTGTGTAAAGCCGTTTCCTACTGCACAGGATAATTAAATTACTAATGGGTTTTAGCAACTGCTTTATACCTACGTGCAGTGCAGAACCAAAGTGAAGTTTGGCCAGATTTTATATTTTGATGTTATGCCAAGTCCATCTATCTTGCCCAGTAGCAGCTGGTGGGGGGGCACCCCATTTTATCCTCACAACGACCCTGTGAGGTAGGCTAGGCCGTGAGAAGCAGCGACTGGGCCAAGCCCCCCCCCCAGTGAACCTCATGTGGCCAAGGGGGGGGGGATTTAAACCCTGGTCTCCCAGGTTCTAGTCTGACACTCTATCAATACACCACACTAGTTCTCTGGAAATTCTAGGGCCCAAAGCTGGGTTACCTCCTTTCCCACAAAGCATGTGCTTTTCCACCAAGCTAAAGGAAGATTTCCTTCTGAGTCCTTTTTAAAGAAGCATATACCCCACCCTATTGCAAAAAGAAACAACAACAAAAGCCCAATAATCAAGTTGGCTTACAGAATAAAATGGAGCAAATAATATAGAAAACACACACCAAAATCAGTTAATTAACAAACACAGCGATTCATAAAAGCTGTGCTCAAAACATCTTGGAGTCTTCTGGTTCCCCCATTCTGCCACCCCTACATGCTCCCATACATCCAAAATCAGAAAATATGTACAAAAGTTTTCCCCACGAGTCTTCCCAAGCACATTCTGCCTAGGAGGATTTGCTCAAGTGGAAACAGGATTCCAGCGATGAACCAGACGGCTCAAGAATCCCAAAAAGGGCTGCAGGGGGAAGGCTACCTTGTTCTTCTTGCTGGTTGGAGCCGGGGGCTTGATCAGCTTCTGCAGGATGCGCAGGCACATGAGAGTGATGTTCTCCACCACCACCGGCGTCTTGATGTTGACGGCCATCAGGAAGAGACTGAGAGCTGGAGGGGGAGCCAAGCGGGAGGGGGAGAAGGAAAGACATCACAGAAGGCAGCACCAAACAGCAAGGCAAGGATATAGACACATTCTTGAACGCCCAGCAACTATGGGGTAAACCATGGGTTGACAAACTAAGGCCTGGGGGCCGGATGCGGCCACTCGCCTTCTCAATCCGGCCTGTGGACGGTCCGGGAATCAGAGCATTTTTACATGACTGGAATGTGTCCTTTTATTTAAAATGCATCTCTGGGTTATTTGTGGGGCATAGGAATTCGCTCATTTTTTCCCTTCAAAATATAGTCCGCCCGCCCCCCCCCCAAGTCTGAGGGACAGTGGACTGGCCCCCTGCTGACCCCTGGGGTAAACTGTTAAAGCAAAAGCCTTCCCACATATCCAGCCTGCTTCTGCTTGCCATTGCCCATCAAAAGGGGGAGACAAAGCATCTTGGAAGCATTGAGCGGCCTGGAGATGAGGACGGTGAGATCCAGGGCTCAGATATGCCACTGGATCACCTTCTCCTGTATCAAACTGCTCTTCAGCTGCCCATCATAATCTGCAGCCTTCCTCCAGGTGCCACTTGCTGTCTGAAGTGTGGCAGGTGGCCACTGGAGAAACAGAGACTTTCCTGTGGTGGCTCCTTGCCTTTGGTGAAATGCCCTCCCAAAGCCTAGAGACCTTGCTGCTGTCATTCAGGCCCAGACAAAAACCCTGCTCTTCCCCGAGGCTTTTAGGAACAGCGAATGTCAATAATACAGTGGTACCTTGGTTTAAGAACAGCTTAAGTTTATGAACAACTTGGATTAAGAACCATGAAAACCCGGAAGTAGGTGTTTTGGTTTGTGAACTTTGCCTTGGAAGCAGAACAAGTTTCGCTTCCTGTTGGGTGTGTTCCATTTGTAATTTGAGCCCCCCGCTGTTATGGGAAAGCACACCTAGGTTTAAGAACGCTTTGGTTTAAGAACGGACTTCCAGAATGGATTAAGTTCTTAAACCAAGGTACCACTGTATTAAGCCAGAGCAGCTATGAACTTGCCTGTTGCTGTTTTATAGTTTGTTGTTTATAGTTTGCTACACAAGTTTGTATGCATTAGTCTTAATCGTCGCCCTGATTTGTACTTCTAATTCTTAGTAGGCTGTCGTGGAAACAACACTAGGTTTGAAGGTACAGGATATAAACAATGAGCTGTATCCAGTATTAATCCTATTCAGAGTAGACCCCTTAATGGACATGGCTAACTTGTGTTCATTGATTTCAATGGGTTTGCTCTAAGCAGGATTGACAATGAATGCAATCCCATGTGAAGAAAACAAATGGTTCTTCTGTCCAGGTTAAGAACTCCAAGCAGCCGGATTTCTTCACACGGTGCATAGTTAAACTGTGGAACTCCCTCCCACAAGAGGCATCGATGGCCACCAGCTTGGATGCATTTAAAAGAGGACTGGTCAAATTCATGGCTCTATTAATGGCTACTAGCCATGATGGCTAATCGGAGGCAGTAACACCTCTGAATCCCAGTTATTGAAAACCACAGGAAGGGAGTGTTGCTGTTGCGCTCAGGTCCTGCTTTGGGGCTTCCCAGAAGAGGCACCCGATTGGCCACTGTGAGAAGAGGATGCTGGACTTCCGGGATAGTGCCATCGGCAATGGCGGAGTTCCTCTGACCGAGAGGAACCCGCTCCGTGAAAATCGGGTCTTGCCGCGGCGGCAAAGGCGGAGACCCTTTAAAAATCCCAGGTGGAGGAAGCCTGGGAACGTGGGATTCGGCTGACACCAAGAGCACCTCCCCTACTCACAGGGAAACCCTTTTTTGGGGTTCCGAAGCGACGTGGGGTGAGCGGCGCGGTGTTTTGAATCGACCGCTACTTTTACGGAGTGAAGCCGCGCAGCCATTGCCGGAGAGCGCTGACTTTTTCCTGTGGACAATTGGACTTTCAACAAGTATCCGTAAGTAGAACGGAAAATTGGGCTACGAAACATTTTAATTAGGCACTGAAGTGGGAAGGTTCTAAACAGGAAGTCCGCCTTCCACTTTTGTAAATAGACTGAAGCAAAAATTTTGCAAGCTAAAGTCTGGAAAGTTGTATATAAAGGACTAAATTTCCTTCAGTTATAACCATCAAAACCAAAGCAGGAGAAGAGGGGGGGGGGAATTTTAGATTGTTCAAGCCTGCAGGAGAGAGAGTGAAGAAAGATAAATTTCCACCGTCTCAAACCTGGGAACGGGGTGTCAGAGACAGAAATTTTTGGGGAAGTTCATTGACAGTGAATGGAACGCCTTTTGACAGATAGTTAAAAAAGAGAAACAAATTGATTCCAATGTTGCCTTTTGCACTCAATAGAAACAAAATATTTGAAAAATGAAAGTAATTTTCTTTTGTTGGACTTGCTTTCAAAAGATGGATACAAATAGAAATTGTCTCCTCTAGAGAGAGCTTGTTAAACTGTTGCTGGAGTCGATCTGGGGATTTCACAGCTGTGGAGATTAGGGATCGTGAGACCAGACTCTGACCTTGGATAAAAATGTGTTTAGAAGAAGTTTTGGTGCTTGCTTTTTGCAAGACAAGTGCTTTGTTGGAGCAGCTGCATGAGAAGATGGATTTGATGACTGTTGCAGTCAAAAACTTTGGACAAACAGTGAATACTCATATAGAAACCATTCAGGAACCAACCCAGGAATCTGTTTTGACAGGGCAAGTGCAAGTGCAGAAGATAATGGAGGAGGTTGCGGTTGAACCTCAAGTAACACAAATGGAGAGACCTGAGGCCTTGCAGGAGCATGGGCTGCTGTTTTTGAGGACTGAATCTGGAAGTCAGATATGGAGAGAGGGAGTATCGTTTTGGGTTGGGAAGTTGGATGGATCCCCCTAGGCAGGGACGTTTTGGTTCTTGGGATTTGGTTTTGGGCCAGGGGGGGTCTGGAGTTGTGGGGGCTCTCAACTTTGGAGGGACTTTGAAACATGCTTTTAAATACTTTCTGGACTACAGTGCTGACTGTGGAGAATGGGCTGATCTGTTGAGGGGAGACGGAGATATTCTTGGGTTGGAGTCCCCCCCCTCAATGAGAAAGGAAAGAAATTAAGAAAAAGATCAACAAAAGACAAGGTAAAGTGCAGGTATAAACAAGAAGAAGATCTGCAGAAGGGACATGGAAAAGACTTAAGAGCCTCGGACATAAGATCACCAGGTTGATGGACTAGATGGAATGGACAGTAAGGACTGACATAACCCAAGACCAGGAAGAAGAGACGTTGGATGAAGATTGGAAGAAAGTTCTTAAAAATTTATTTTGAGAATTAGTGTAAAATTAATGAGTATTAGGAAAAATGTTGGAATGAAACTATTTGGCTTTAGTAGAAATGATATAAGGAGTTACGTATAAATAAGTATTAAGTTTTAAGGTATTTTATGGTAAGATAAGGCTAAAATAAATTAAGGTAAATTGAATGACAGAATATTGTGAAAGATGGAAAGGATTTGCCGAGTTAATTAATAGGTTAGACCGTCAAGATAAATTATTCAACAAAAATTGAGAAAGATGGAAAGAATTTGCTGAAACAATTAATTAAAATAGAATACAAAAAGGGAGGTGTGAGGAGGTCGGTGAAACAAGTAAATGAAAGATAAAGATATGGAATATTGGATGTGTGTTTTAATGCTATTGTTCTTTTTTGCTGTATTGTTGTATCGGTTTTTGTGGGTTTTTTTATGTATTGTAATGTATGTCTTGTTAATTTTTTTGTTGTTTTTTCCCCTTCTTTTTTCTGCAATTTTTAAACTTCTAATAAATATCATTTAAATTAAAAAAAGAGAGAGAGAGAGAGAGAAGAGGATGCCGGGCTAGATAGGCCCCTGGCCTGATCCAATGGGTTCTTCTGTCCTCATGACTCCACAGCAGCAGGGACTGCTTGTTAGGGTGGCCAGGAGATGCAAGACGCCTCTTTTCTTAACCAGTCAACCCTCTTTCCAAACATGGAGTTGATCACCTTGCCATTGTTATAAGAATTTTAAGGTCCCAAATATAGAATAAATATTCTTAAATGCACACATATCTAAATATATGAACCATGTGTCTGAAAGAGTATGGAAGAGAAATCCTGAAGCCATTTTGAATCTCCCAATGACCTCAAATATTCCTCTGGGAGGTAAATGTGTCTTCCCATTGGACGAGCCTTCCCATTGTCTTTTTGCTTGCAAATCCTGTCTTAAGGGAGTATTTGTGTATGGATAGGGCGAGCCTGTGACCTGGAGTCAGGAACTAAAGTATTAACCATCACAAAAGAATGGCCAGACTGCCCTGGTAATGCAATCAGTGACTATTATTGGGTATCCTGGCAGACGGGATTTCTGCTGGAGACCGCCTCCTTCTACGATGTACGTATGATGTTTTGGGGGGTGATCTTGGGCTACAGGGTGGGCAATTTCAAAAATCTATATAAGGGCTTGCACACCATTGCTTAGGGTTCTCTTCCCTCCTGCGTGTGGTGAGTGTGGACCTTGTTGCAACAGTTCTTTGAATAAAGATCAGGCTTGTTGTTGTTGTTGTTGTTTAGTCGTTTAGTCGTGTCCCACTCTTCGTGACCCCCTGGACCAGAGCACGCCAGGCACTCCTGTCTTCCACCGCCTCCCGCAGTTTGGTCAGACTCATGTTTGTAGCTTCGAGAACACTATCCAACCATCTCATCCTCTGTCGTCCCCTTCTCCTTGTGCCCTCCATCTTTCCCAACATCAGGGTCTTTTCCAGGGAGTCTTCTCTTCTCATGAGGTGGCCAAAGTATTGGAGCCTCAACTTCACGATCTGTCCTTCCAGTGAGCACTCAGGGCTGATTTCCTTAAGAATGGATGCGTTTGATCTTCTTGCAGTCCATGGGACTCTCAAGAGTCTCCTCCAGCACCATAATTCAAAATTCTTCGGCGATCAGCCTTCTTTATGGTCCAGCTCTCACTTCCATACATCACTACTGGGAAAACCATGGCTTTAACTATACGGACCTTTGTTGGTAA